CAGGGCTTCTGTGTATTTCCCTCTGTGCGAGTGTGTGTCGATGTATACGTGGGTAGCTGCATGCACGAGTGTGCGTGTGTGCGTGTGTGAGTGTGCACGTGTGCGCAAGAGTCTTAGTTGCCGGTGTCTCATGAGCAACTAAAAATATCACCCGATAAGTTTTGTTCCTAAGCCTCAGCCTCACACCTCCCCTCCCTCTCATCACATGCCCACCCCACTCTCTCTCCCCTCGCTCTCAGCATATGTCAACCCAACTCTCTCTCTGTCTCTCCCTTCGCTCTCCATTGCTGCTCTCTTCATCTCAACCCCTGCCCCCCCATCATCCCTACCTCCTCGCCCTCACCTCTCTCTCCTTTTCTTAGTAAGATGGAAAAAATTAACAGCAACATTTTATTCTTCTGTGCGTGCATCATGCAGTGGCATTATTTTCTACATGAACAGTGATGATCGCATCAAGGTCTGGTGACCCAGAATGGAAGTCAAGAGCACACGACATTACAATTGTCCTGCTCTCTCAAGGCCTGGCCTTCTGTCCCCTTGCAGTTTCTGGATTACTTGAAGATCAAATAATAAAGGGAGTTTATTGCTGTGTTCTCCAGATTCTAGACACCCTATGGGAAGAGTGTTTTATACATGGGAGGAAATCATATCACCCAGACGAAACCATACAGACAAGATGGGGATAACACTCAAAAGGTCTTCACATATAGGTTTATAAATCCACAAGCTGTTCGACTGACTTCTGGCCACCCTACAGCCCGCGGGTTTGGGTGGTCCTCTCCATCTCGCTCCCCCTCACTCTCCTCTCTCCTCTTCATCTCTCTCCTCCTCACTCTCCTCTCTCCTCTTCATCTCTCTCCTCCTCACTCTCCTCTCTCCTCTTCATCTCTCTCCTCCTCACTCTCCTCTCTCCTCCTCTTCATCTCCCCCCCCTCACTCTCCTCTCTCGATGTCTCTTATCACACACCTCCCCTCTCGTCTCTACCCCCTCTATCCACCCCCACACCGAACTGCCCCCCCCCCCCGCCCTCTCTTGCACTCCCGAATCTCTCCTCACTTTATCCCCCTTCTCTCTCCTCACTCAGGAGGACGTCGGTGTCTGTGTTTGTAACTTCGCTTTGGTCATCACCTCACACCCCATCCTCACCCCCATCCCACCCCACCCCCCGGGGGACTTATTTAGCTTTGTGTGGTCTCCACTCTGCCTGTCACCGCTCGCCCGCCGGCTCGGGGTGAGGCTCAGGGCTGGGAGAGGGGGTGAGGCTCAGGGCTGGGAGAAGGGGTGAGGCTCAGGGCTGGGGCAGGGAGTGAGGTTCAGGGCTGGGAGAGGGGGTGAGGCTCAGGGCTGGGAGAGGGGGTGAGGCTCAGGGCTGGGAGAGGGGGTGAGGTTCAGGGCTGGGAGAGGGGGTGAGGTTCAGGGCTGGGAGAGGGGGTGAGGTTCAGGGCTGGGGCAGGGGGTGAGGCTCAGGGCTGGGAGAGGGGGTGAGGTTCAGGGCTGGGAGAGGGGGTGAGGTTCAGGGCTGGGAGAGGGGGTGAGGTTCAGGGCTGGGAGAGGGGGTGAGGCTCAGGGCTGGGTTTGCAGCAGCCTCGGAGTCCCAAGTGCAGTTCCCCGCATTTCGTTGCCGGGCGCCACGTGGCCTCTTGCCTTGACCGTCGGCCCTGGGAGGCCGACAGTCAGTCACTTCACTTGCAGCGTTTGACTTCATCTACCGCCCCCTCCGCCCCTGTTTACACTGAGTACCCCTCGCGTGTTTCTGCAGGTGCCAAAGAATGACACCCTGCCCATCGGGTTAAAATATCATCCCAATGTGGTGCCTGTGGCCTGCAACTTCAAGGTACGGGCGCACACGCATCACACATCACACACCACACACACATCACATACTACACACACACACCACACATACATCACATACTACACACACCATACACACACCACACACACCACACAAACCACACACCACACACGCCACACACTATACACCACACACACCATACACACACCACACACCACACACACATCACACACACCACGCACACATCACACACACCACACCACCACACTCCACACACACCACACACATCACACACCATACACACCATACACACACCACACACACACCACACACATCACACCCCATACACATCACACACATCACACACCACACACGCCACACACATCACATACCACATACACACCACACACAGCACACACACCACACACACCACACACATCACACACATCACACACGCCACGTACACCAAACACCCCACTGGCCCACCACACCGCTCACAGATGTCACAAATAGAGAAGTCGACGCCACAGTGCTGTGACCCCTTGACCTCTCACCACCACCGCCACCTGAACGGCTCTACCACCACCTCTAAAGGCAAAGATCCCCCGTGTAGCCCTTAACAGGCTGTTGGGGCAAGTGCTGTTAGCGAGTAGCACCTATGAAGGCCGGCACGGCACACGAGGGGGTGGGTGACCAGCACCACGCCCGACCGCCTTTGTCTCCCTAGCGGCGAAGTTTACACACCGCACCGGGTACTCATTTGAGGCTGAGTCTACCTCGGGGAGGCCCAGCACCGGTTTAGATAATCGTCACCGGTGTTGGTGATCGTGAAGGGCCGTCCATAAATGACGTCACGCACCTGGGGAGGGGGGGGGGGTCAGACATTTATGACGATGTGTGACGAGGGGAGGGGGGTTGAGAAATGTGACGTCACATAAAAATGCGCAACTTTAAATATAAACAACACGTTCTACTTAATTTAATAGAATTGTTATAACAGCACTAATTTTGATTCATTTTAATGATTAACTATTTGATTATTTAAATTTACTAAGGTCACCTTTTGTTTATTCCATGAAGGAGCATTTTGCTTCTCCATCGGAGAATTGAGAAACATACATTTAGTTGCGCCTTTTGGCGTCATCTGGTCCAACCCATATGAGACTAGGCTCGAAGGAAAGCTGTCTCGGGTGTGGACCAATCAACTTCAAGGACAGTGCACATTATCAGAGTTATGTTCTTTTGTTTGTATTATGACTGCAGGTATTGCGGTCTATGCAAACATGACTCCTTGCAAAAAGGTGTCAGTTTTGTTGCCAGATAGAAGGGTAAAGAACCAATTATCATATTTTTACTGGCAAATGAGGTCCCCATAGTATACATTTAGTTATTCAACATTTCGATTTTAATGATCCTACCAGGGCTTTTCATTCTGTGGAATGAATGTGTGCTTTTTATAATTGTACTCTTCAATTTTCTTCATTCTAATACAAAGTTTCAAGTAATTTTTTATCGTTATAATTACTTTTAATATATGATAATTATAAGAGAATTTCAATAGAATATTGTGAACATCTGCAGATTTAGTTAGACGATTAATATTTCAAGTGAATTTTATGCTAAATTTCAGCTTTCCAACGCCTCCTTTTTAATAAATGTTTTCACCTACAACATCAGAGTGCAGCGCCACATTAAATACGCACTACAATGACAATAGTTTAAAGCGATTTGAAGCATGTTTTATTTTCAAAATGGAAATATGGTTTGGTGGGGGGGGGCAGAGCTTTGTGACGTCATATTTGAGGGTGGTCTGCTTTTTGTGACGCCGTGTAACGAGGGGGGGGGGGGTCAAAAATCCTCCAAAGTCGCGTGACGTCATTTATGGATGGCCCCTGAGCGGGAATCGAACTCGGGGTTCGACACCACCACCACCGCCACCACCGCCACCACCGCCACCACCGCCACCACCGCCGTCGTGATCACCGTCACCCGCGTATCCTTCTCCGCGCAGCGCGAGGAGGACAAGGGCAGGATCAGCGCGATACGCTACTTCGGCGCGGGCGGCTACGCGGGCTTCCCGATGCACTACTACCCCTTCCTGGGGCGCGCGCGGCACGCGGGCTATGTGAACCCGCTGGTGGCCGTGCAGCTCATGAACGTGACGCGCGACGTCGAGGTGCGGCTGGAGTGCCGCATCTACGCCGAGAACGTGCCCTTGTCGGCGCGCGACCGCCTCGTGGGCCGCGTCGACCTCAAGCTGCTGGTGCGCAGCTAGCGGCCTACCCCCCGCCCTCGCCTCCAACTCCACGACCGCAGCCTCGCGCGTGGGCCCACGCACCGCACCGCACCGCCCCTGCACCGCACCGACACGCGCGCACGCACGCCCAGGTACGACCTCGTGCCTGCACGCGCGTGTACGCACCTACACAGGTGCGAACGAACCGTACTCACCTGTGTAGCTTTGCAATGCGGTGCAGAGCACTCACCGGTACACCTGCGCCCACACGCACCTGTACAGGGCACACATCTGCACTCGCCCGTATAGGGCTGTACACCTGCACGCACACCTCTACGAATCTGCATAGGACACTTGCCTATCTAAACCTGCACACACATCTTATCTGTCACGCGTATAGGGTGCACGTGTAGAGGTCACGCACACATGCACTCACCTGTATAGGGGACAGAGCTGTAGCCGCACACACCTGTACAGGGCGCTTACCTGTACCTGCACATGCTCATATGCAGGGCTCACACCTATAGGGACCGTATAAGGTATGCACTTGTACCTACATACACACCTGTACGCACCCGTCTAGGGCACAAGCCTGTATAAGGGGCACACACCCCTGTACACACACACACACAACTGCACATACCTGTACTGGGGGACTCACACCTGCACACATTCTCAGCTACAATCACCTGGAACACAATTACACAGGAGGTGGTGCAAACACATGCACCCACATGTATAGGGTGCCCACCCGTACCCTGCACGCACCTGTACAGTGCTCTGTGGGTTACCTGGCGAGTGTGAACACCTAGACCGCATCCATCTCCTCTTGGCATTGGCAGAAGGGGCTGAGGAAGAAGCCAACTTTGGCTACAGAAGCATCTAGCAGCCTCTTACCATTATTGTTGAGCTGATCTGGCCCATGCCTTTCAATCACTCCTGCCCAGGTGCTTGCGTCATGACCCACTCAGGTATTAAAGTGACGATCAAATTCTTGCTAACCCTCCCACGGCAGCTGGCTGAGACCAAGCTTTAAGCGTTCGAATGGGGTCTCGGGTGGAAGGCCACTACCACCACCAGCAGCAGCAGCACAGTGGAAGGAAGGCAGGCGCATCTTACAGACAATCTGGTGGTCAATGGACAGATCAGCTCCGTGGTGTCAAGGGTACGTGGGCTCACATTCACTGTCCCGCCGCTGTATAGTCCAGCAGATGTTCTTGCTTGGATATGGAAAGCACCCGAGGTGTTGTGTGGAAGAGCTGATGACGAATCAGCGTGCTGGTCATTAAAAGCCCATTTCCAGCACAGAAATCTAGCAGCCCCCCCCCCCCCCATCATGATTGTTGAGACGATCAGAACCCCATTGACTGCGAGTTACTCCTACCCAGGTGCTAACTCAATGACCCACCTGAGCATTAACAGTCACCCAATCCGAGAAGGGCCACTTTAGCGGACATCTGGGAGAAGAGGTCACAACGGGAATCTGACTAATCATTTGGGGCATAGGCAGCCACCACCACCACCACTCTTCCTTGCCTCCTGTTGATGGGACACGTGAGTGGCTTCTCACCGCCACGCTCCCACAGCCCCCCTTGAATTCTTCATTCAGAAGAGCGACTCCCCATAAATCCGATTGTTATCCTGCCCCGAGTCGAGGACTGTCCATCTCTCGTGGTGACTGGGGAGTCAGAAACCGTCCACCACTCCACCGGACCTTCTGCATCCGAAAGGTGCAGGTGGTACGCTGGACAGCGGTTGGGCTCCTCTGACAAGATGAGCGTCAGCCTCTCGTCACATTCAGTCACTCCACTTGACCAGCCGCAGTGGGTGCCCATCGCTTCTGGAGGCTCCCCGCCAAACCTTGCCCGGTGGCCAAGAGGCACTGGAGACGCCTCCGCTTGCTTGGTTATCCACTGCACTGGGTGTGAGTACGCCGCGAGGGTAATCGGCTGACAGGTGAGACGTTCCCCCAATGACTTTACACCACAAAGCTCCCAGCTGGCACCACAGGCAGTCGGGGAGGATGGTTTGCCAGACGCACACCGATCACAAATGATGCCCTTCCCCCGTATAGCCCACACCGGCTGCTTGGGCAAGTGCTGTTAGCGAGCACCTATGCAGCCCAGAGTACAGACACACAAGACAGCACCACCTAACAACAACAACAACATAAAGCCGCCATTCGCCACTAAGTGGTGGTGAACATCACCATGGCGCTTGTGCCAGGCTAGGTGCACCCTCCCTCCCCCCCACTCACGTACCCAGCTGTGTAAGTGTTCGTGTAGTGCCCGTGTGTAACCGTGTCCTCGTGTTTCGTGTCTTTGAAAATCGACATCTTAAACAAAAAAAACCGATAAATTATATTACTCGAAAGATGTACAAGATTTTAGAATGAATAGCGGAAGAATATATATGAATATACTATATGACATAGAATTATATAATTAGCATATATTTAATAGGATATAGAATACATTTTATTATAATTTGACGTCTACAACTAAGTTGATGATGTCACGAACATTAATGACTTCGTTGCTAGCGGCTCGTGTCGAGCGATGACGTCACATGTCGTGTACTATAACGTTACAAATCATTGGCGATAACGTCACATGCGCACTAACGTCACCGCTCTCTGTATGTGCTGTGCGATGACATCATGGCGCAATGACGTCGTCAAACAGCACAATGACGTCACCGCAATCCAGCGATGGCGTCACAGGTTAATACATTTCGCGCGAGGAAGACGTCAGTCTCCTATTCAGCACAAACGGCGCAGTGACGTCAGCGAGGCGTGCTGGCATTGTGACGTCATCGCGCCCGCCAGCACAATTGACGTGGCTGCGCGCGGCTCCCTCTCCCGTCCACTGACGTCATCGCGTCATACGCGGGGACGTCACAGCCCTAAATCTCAGCACAAATTGCGTCATCGTGTGGCGACACTGAGCCGCCGCCGGGGTTAAAACTCCGGCATAGAGGGGGATGGTCGGTAAAGCGAATTAATGAAGTACTCGCCCGTGTGATTGGTTGCCTGGGTTCGTGTTTTACTCATTCCGTGTCACTTGAAGCTTCATATTCCGTGTTAAGCGACCGCTAAGGCGCGCCCCTCAAGCCACGTGGCCTCGCCCACCCACCCGCCACGGGGCCATGTTGAGGCCACGTGACGATGTTGAGGCCACGTGGCGATGTTGAGGCCACGTGACGATGTTGAGGCCACGTGACGATGTTGAGACCACGTGGCCCCCTGGCGACACTGGGCACGCGACTGCAGCTGTGGCCGGTGACGTCACGCGCTCCCCTTGCTGGTGAACACTGCGGTAGGAGGCATTTAAACAACAAAAACGTCGAACACATTCGTCAGATAACCCGTGTGTGTGTATGACCTTAAAATATATATATAATAGGCGACGTTTTGGGCAATGCCCCTTCTTCACATATCACATCAAATGTGTTAATTGTGCTGCCAGAGCAGCAATATCACCAAATAATTATTTGTGCGAATGATTTGGTGATGCTGCTGATTCTAATCATAAGGGATCGTTGCGGAGAACATTACATAACAATAGGAGAGCAGGCAACACGTCTCCCTCGTAGATCTGTCCCTCCACGGACTTTCTTTAGTTTGGTTTTAACACATCCCATCAGCGCCGCACGGCCTCCTGGGAGTGCATCATTTCAGCGGCATTGGATCAACGCAAGCAAAACTCTGCACCGGTTTCGACTCCAGTACTTCAGTGTCTCATCAGCAGGGTCGGGCCTGCTTTCACCGATGACGATGAAATGCCCGATGCTACAGGCAAGGCCCTCTCTGTTAGATTATTATGGGTCCAGCAGTGCCAGACTAAGCTAGAGCGGGGCCTGTAGCATATGTTACAAAGGGGCTCTAAACTAAAAAAACATTAAAACACACATTTTTTTACTTGCACAGTAAAGTAATTGTATGTTTTCATTAGCCAGATAATACGACAAATCGCTAACCTTAAACACCCAGTAGTTCATAAAAGTTGAAGGCAATATAGTACTATAGTAATAGAGCAAGTGCAGAATCACTGAACCGGAATTGATAACTTGAAAGCATTTAGCGCGGGGCCCTTGAAAGTACGGGGCCCGTAGCTACTACACGAGTAATAGCTACTACATGTGTAGTAGCTACTACATGTGTAGTTGCTACTACATGTGTAGTAGTAGCTACTACATGTGTAGTAGTAGCTACTACACATGTAGTAGCTACTTGTGCTACTTGAATAATCCGGCACTCGGTCCAAGTTCGAAGCCAAATTTACGCGGTCCAATGCGGTACTTCGCTGGATCGATTACAAGCGGCGATTCCATTCATTTGATTCCCATTGCGTGCTCACATTGTGGGGGGAGTGGGGTCATGACCCTGTACTGCCCTGTTCTACTTATTAGGCACAGAGCAAATCAGCCAGAATCAGAATGTTTATTTTAGAATGGCGCAATCCGATGAGCCACTGGCGATGCTATTTGACTAAACATTCGGCAGGTAGCGATGCAAACAACGATCCGTAGCTCCCTTGACGATTCTCACGTCCCAATCAAGACCCATGCATCCCGTTGTCTCGGAACACTAATGAACTACCCGACGAGTGTAATTATCCCTTCGTCCTGAGCTTCTACTGACGAGCGAGGCTTCGAGACAGCGATAACAACGCGATGGCGGTTAAACGCACCAATATGGCAACTGGGTGACGTCACGAGCCCCCTGTACTCAAGTGGAATTCCGCTTGGGATCACGTGCTGCATGCAGCCGGCTGCATTGGGACGCCCAGTGTCCCAGCCCCCCTCCCTGCCTCCTTGCCCCCACCCAATCCCCCTCCCCCCTCCCCTCGCGCCACCTTGTGAAGTGAGTCAACGACGTCGCGCGCAGTCTGTTCGGGGCAGTGACGACGCCACTCCCCCTGTTGGCGCGCGGTGACGTCACCTCCGATTGCTTATTGTGACGTCACAAAGGGGAGTTGGGGAGGGGGGTGGGACCCGTCGTCCGTTTCTCTCCGCCGCGTGCGTGCGTGCGACCCCGCTTTAAAGCTGCCGCGTTCAAGTGTCGATGTGACGGGCGACCCGCGCGCGTCCGCCCGTTCTGTTTGCGTGCCGAGTGACTCAACCCCCTCCGCCGCGTCGACGGTCATCCGCGCGTGCCGATGGGTTTCGGTCGGTCGAATTGCGTGCTGTGGATGCTCGACCGTGTGTGTGTGTGTGTGCCGATTGATCGATTCGCGTGCCTTGCCGTGCCGTCTGTCGCTCGTGTCGTCTGTGTCTGTGCGAGACTCGCTCCATCCTCATGAAGCAATAAAAATGTGGAGAACACAACACGGGGCGTCCCCCGCGTGTTTCTTTATCCATCGTCTGTTGGCTCACGATGACTCTGAAGTAAAGATGATCCAGGATGAGATCTGGTCTTGTGTGTGACAGCAAGGAGAGTAATACGTATGGCAGATGGATGGCTGATGTATATAACAACAAAGACGCCCCGAATAGCCTTAACAGGCTGTTGGGGCAACTTGCTGTTCGCGAGCACCTATATCGGCCTTCATAGGTGCTACTCGCTAACAGCACTTGCCCCAACAGCCTGTTGAGGCTACACGGGGGATCTGTCTTTGTTTGTGATTGTGTGAGAGTGATTTTGTGATTATATATGAGTGCGAGTGTGTGTGTGTGAGCGTGATTATGCATGATTATGTGCGATTGTATGATTGTGTGTGCGATTATATGTAATTGTGTGTATGATTGTGTGTGTGTGTATGATTGTGTGTGATGAGTGGAGTTTGTATGCTCTCATCCTATTTGGTAGACCTGTGTGTGAGCAAGAGAGTTTGATTTAATGCGAGTGTGGAGTCTGTGCGTTCTCTTCCCCTGTTCTGCGTGGTTCTCCGGTTTCCTCCTCACATAGCGAACCCCACACCCACAGTGTAACTGGTAGTGATCAAACCACAGCTACACCTACACCCAGTGTAACTGGAAGTGGTCAAACCACAGCTACACCTATACCCACAGTGTAACTGGAAGTGGTCAAACCACAACTAAACCTACACCCACAGTGTAACTGGAAGTGGTCAAACCACACCTACACCCACAGTGTAACTGGTAGTGATCAAACCACAGCTACACCTACACCCACAGTGTAACTGGAAGTGGTCAAACCACACCTACACCCACAGTGTAACTGGAAGTGGTCAAACCACAGCTACACCTACACCCACAGTGTAACTGGTAGTGATCAAACCACAGCTACACCTACACCCAGTGTAACTGGAAGTGGTCAAACCACAGCTACACCTATACCCACAGTGTAACTGGAAGTGGTCAAACCACAACTAAACCTACACCCACAGTGTAACTGGAAGTGGTCAAACCACACCTACACCCACAGTGTAACTGGTAGTGATCAAACCACAGCTACACCTACACCCACAGTGTAACTGGAAGTGGTCAAACCACACCTACACCCACAGTGTAACTGGAAGTGATCAAACCACAGCTACACCTACACCCACAGTGAAACTGGAAGTGATCAAACCACAGCTACACCTACACCCACAGTGGAACTGGAAGTGGACAAATCGCATGGAAATGCCGAGACATCGCCCGCAATTGACTCATTTGGCATAGCTCAACGAAGTGGCATTTCATGCGGAAATTCATAGCAGCCACATACTCTAAGCGCACGTTTATTATAAATGTGGAGGGGAAAATCGGAGGACCCGGAGAATAATCCATGCGACCACGGGGAGAGAGAAAACACGCAAACTTCAAATACACAGCAGCAGGCGTCAGGGTCGAGATCGAACCCACGGCCTCCTGCATACCAGGCGATGTAGTTAACATCCCCTAGCTACCGTGATGATGATGATGAGAGAGAGACACGCAAACTCCAAATACACAGCAGCAGGCGTCAGGGTCGGGATCGAATCCACGACCTCCTGCATACCAGGCGAGGTAGTTAACATCTCCTAGCCACCGTGATGATGATGATGAGAGAGAGAGACACGCACACTCCAAATACACAGCAGCAGGCGTCAGGGTCGGGATCGAACCCACGACCTCCTCCATACCAGGCGAGGTAGTTAACATCTCCTAGCCACCGTGATGATGATGATGAGAGAGAGACACGCAAACTCCAAATCTACAGCAGCAGGCGTCAGGGTCGGGATCGAACTCACGACCTCCTGCATACCAGGCGAGGTAGTTAACATCTCCTAGCCACCGTGATGATGATGATGATGAGAGAGAGACACGCAAACTCCAAATACACAGCAGCAGGCATCAGGGTCGGGATCGAACCCACGACCTCCTGCATACCAGGCGAGGTAGTTAACATATCCTGGCTACCGTGATGATGATGATGATGAGAGAGAGACACGCAAACTCCAAATACACAGCAGCAGGCGTCAGGGTCGGGATCGAACCCACGACCTCCTGCATACCAGGCGAGGTAGTTAACATCTCCTAGCTACCGTGATGATAATGATGAGAGAGAGACACGCAAACTCCAAATACACAGCAGCAGGCGTCAGGGTCGGGATCGAACCCACGACCTCCTGCACACCAGGCGAGGTAGTTAACATCTCCTAGCTACCGTGATGATGATAATGATGAGAGAGAGACACGCAAACTCCAAATACACAGCAGCAGGCGTCAGGGTCGGGATCGAACCCACGACCTCCTGCACACCAGGCGAGGGAGTTAACATCTCCTAGCTACCGCGTGGCCCACACACACACATATCAGCAGGAGCAGAAATGTCTCCGAGTGCGAAACAATCTTGAGGCTCTGTGAGGCTTTCGCAAAACTAAAACGAGCACAAGTAACGAATAATACGTTAACAGATCGTACATTAATTATAATAAATACATAGCGCTCAAACTCAAGACTCGCACGCTAGAAAACATCGTCACGTGACCGATCAGCTGCTCGTGAGTCACGCGCCCACGGACTAAATCATCGATCACCGCGGGTTCGGGGCGAGGAGTGTTTGAATGTGTCACACTCGACAACACTTCCCACCGAAGCGCATTGCTCTATCTTCTTGGTTCTTTCGGTAAAGCCACGTAGAATGGAAATAATAAAATAATAAAAATAAAACATAATAAAAGAATTCTCACGACGTTTCGGCCACAACGCAAGCAGTCGTCCTCAGGTGAAGAACAGGTCATTCAGACTGTCTTCTCGACAGACCTGTTTTATTTTTATTATTTCCATTCTACGTGACTTTACCGAAAGAACCGAGAAGATGAATCCCTGCAGTCACGAAAGCTTTAAATCGAAAAATGACAGGTTTGTGCTGTTTTTCCGGATCGAATCGGCTGTGGGCCGCGTGGCGCTGAGCACTCAATTCCCCCGTGCCGGTGATGGGGTAGCATCGCCCTCTGGCGGCCACACGTGGCAACTGCGGGTGCAGACGGTAGCACACAAACGGCAGTACACAGAGTACACAGACGTTAGTACACAGAGTACACAGACGGCAGTACACAGAGTACACAAACGACAGTACACAGAGTACACAGACGGTAGTATACAGAGTACACAAACGGCAGTACACAGAGTACACAAATGGCAGTACACAGAGTACACAAACGGCAGTACACAGAGTACACAGACGTTAGTACACAGACGGTAGTACACAGAGTACACAGACGTTAGTACACAGACGGCAGTACACAGAGTACACAGACGTTAGTACACAGACGGCAGTACACAGAGTACACAGACGGTAGTATACAGACGGCAGTACACAGAGTACACAGACGGTAGTATACAGACGGCAGTACACAGAGTACACAGACGTTAGTACACAGACGGCAGTACACAGAGTACACAGACGTTAGTACACAGACGGCAGTACACAGAGTACACAGACGGTAGTATACAGACGGCAGTACACAGAGTACACAGACGGCAGTACACAGAGTACACAGACGGCAGTACACAGAGTACACAGACGGAAGTACACAGAGTACACAAACGACAGTACACACAGTACACAGACGTTAGTACACAGAGTACACAGACGGTAGTACACAGACGGCGGTGGGGAGGAACTGGGTGGGAACAGGGGTAATTGAGGGGATCCATCTGGGAGCTCCCAGACCCCGCTAGAGAGTTGTAGAGAGAGAGGGGGGTGGGTGGGTGGGGTGGGGGGATAAAAGGCGGTGAGAGTCGGGGCTTGGGGCTCGGGGCTGTCCGTGGGACTCGGGGTCGTCTCGTGGTGGAAGGTCGTCTTCTTCGTCGTCTTCGCCGCCGCTGCTGCCGCTGCTGCTGTCTCGGCAGCAGTTCGCGCCGTCGTTGCGAGACGGCGGCGTGCAGCGTCGTGTTACGAGCCCGTGCGTTGAGATTGTGTGGAGTGCAATAAATGAATAAAGAATGTGCCACTACAATTGTTGTTCTTAGGTTTTTTTCGGTAAAGTCACGTAGGTAAAACATTATTTTATTTTATATTATTTTATTTTTATTAAACTTTTTTTATTTTACTTTTATTAATTAAATTTTTTTTACCTACGTGACTTTACCGAAAAAACCTAAGCATATGAATCCTTGCAGTCACGAAAGCTTCAAATCTAGAAGAAAAATTTTAACCCGTAAAAACAAAGTTTTTCACTATAAATCCTTTATATGCGTGGCGGCTAGAGTCCTCTCGTCCTCTGGCTTGAGATGGCTGCCACCTATGGGTCAGATGATTGTCTGCCACCATTAAGCAATTGGTAATTAAATATTTAAATGTTTTCCCCTAAAAATGGTAAAATTTTGGAAAAAAAATTTACACGAAAATAAATTGTCACGCACAACGAGTCTGTGTGCAAAATGTCAGCTCGATTGGATCACGGGGAGTGGGTTAAAAAACGACCGAAAGATTTGCTCGGTCCTAAGCAAGCAAGCAAGCGAACTTAATATAAAGGATTAAAAAAAAAGCTACAGTTGTTGTCTGCGGAGTCCTTCGTTACACCAGAATGCGTGTGGGTTGACGGCTGTGAGTCATTCCCCACCATCGCCCCCGTGATCGATAATCGATAATCACGCGTCGACTCCAAACGCGCAAGGGGGCGTCCATAAATGACGTCACGCACGAGGTGGGGGGGGGGGGGGTTTGAGAAATGTGACGTCACATCAAAATGCGCAACTTTAAATAAATATAGACAACACGTTCTACTTAATTAAATAGACTTTGTAATAAATGTTTTCTCCTACAACATCAGAGTGGAGCGCCACATTAAATACGCACTACAATGACAATAGTTTAAAGCGATTTGAAGCATGTTTTATTTTGGGGGGGGGGGCAGAGCTTTGTGACGTCATATTTGAGAGGGGGGGGTCAGACTTTTTGTGACGCCGTGTGACGAGGGGGGTGGGGAGTCAAAAATCGTCCAAAATCGCGTGACGTCATTTATGGACGGCCCCTTTGAGGGCGACACGGAGTGGACCTATTTTCGCGAGCCAGCGGAACGATGGCGGACGGTGGCCGCGCGGGTGCACGGACACACTCGCGGGGCGGGGCGGGAGGTGAAGCGGCCGCGCCCGGGGGGGGGGGGGGTTGGGGGGGGACAATCACCGCGGCGGAGTCGCCGCCACCGCGCATTCATTTGCTGACGTCACGTCCGGTGACGTCACGGGCGGTGACGCGCTTCGGTCGCCATGTTGCGTAGGGAGGAAAGCGTTTGGGAATAAAAATGTTCCCCTTTGCGGCAATGAAACAGGACGTGTTTAAGATGTTCAAACACCAAACAGAGGCCTTTTGCAAGGAATCATGTCTGCATTAACCACACACGCGGTACTTGTGGTGAACATGCAAACAAATACATGCTCTGGAAATATATGCATTGTATATGCCGGTCTACTGTACAATACTGTACCGTATACGTGTATACAATAGTAACTAATACTCTTTAGTTTTTTCGGTGAAGTCACGTAGGTATAAAATTAAAATAAATAAATTTACATAAAAAACTGAATCGATTATACCTACGAGACTTTGCCGAAAGAACTAAAGAGTATGGATCATTGCAGTCACGAAAACTTAAGATCTAGATTGAATGGTAACTAATCTTAACACGAGAACATCTTAACACCTGTGTTGTTGCCAGAAAAAAAGGGGAAACCCTATTTTGATATTTTGGTACTGCCAAAGGAGGTCCCATGATGTAATCTTCACACGTTTGTCAAAAGCACTATACTGTACATATTGTACATAGCACATTATTTAAAAATGTTTAAGGCCGCACACCAGTGTTATTTTGAGAGGGAACGTGTTAAGTTGTGTTTGTGCTCATGTGCTACCACTGCATCATGACAAGCCACTTCGTTGAGCTGCTCTAACTTGTGATTTTAAAGCGCTACGATATGGCTCAGGCTCTCGCCGGTAAATTACTTTTTATTACTTTTAGTGGTTGGGTTACCTGCCCTATACTTTGCACTCCTATCGTTGTTTGTCCTAACTTTCTGACCCCGTGTCCCTACAGGACATATCTAAAATAAAAGAGATCGATAACTAATCGGATTCCTCCAGGACACAAAAAGATTCTGACTCTAAAATACAGTGCAAAATGTACTTTACAGTGGGCGGCTTACTGTACTCAGAGAATCGATCCACGTCGGCGATCATTAATCGATTCGCCTAAGCCACACCCCCCCACCAACTCTCGCGAGATCTGTTTGACCGCCTGTGCCTCGCAGTTACAATCCCCTGCGTGGCTCTCGCGAGAGTTTGCGGCCCCTGCTATCGAGCCCGGGAAACCCCGCGCGCCCCCCCTTTCTCACCAGGCCTCGCCGCCGCCGCTGCGTCGCTCCTCTCCCCGCGCCCTCCGCGTCGCCACCTCGCCAGCCTCGCACGCAGCAATGCCGCCCAAGGGACCCCCACAGTCCGTCCAGGTGTTCGGGCGCAAGGTGAGAGCCGTGGAGGAAGACGGGCCCGTTTCTTTGCGGCTTTTGAGGCGAGGCGAGGCGGGGCCTAGCGATCGCGGCCTCGTGTCTCCCCCGAGCGCCCGCCTTGCCTGGCCACACTCGCCGGAGTCGTCGCGACGCGCGCGGGTTAAAGAAGCGCTCAGAGTTCTACAACAGCCTCGATCTCGCTCGGACAGACGAGCCTCCTCGAGGCTGCGTGTTCACGTAATCCGTAAGCGAACGCGACGCGCTGTTGATTTATTTTTCTTCCCACACCGAGCGATGTCGGCCCCATCGTGTCGATGCCTGAGTCCTGACGGGGCCTGTGGGGGGGGGGGTGTTGAGAGTGGTCCGTCGTGTTGAGAGTTGCCAATGGTGCTTGAGTAACGTGCCCGAGGGTGCCTGGTGTGGTGGGGGGGATGGAAGAGACGGCGCAAGCCTTGCGCCAGGCCGCTTGGCAGGAGGCAACACGTGTTCCTGTGCGTGTGGAGTCGTCTGCTGGCGGTGAAGTCGATGACCGCTTTAAATGTTAGCGACTCCCAACCAACATCATAGCGGGCCGATGCGCGCGTCTCCTCGTATAGTTGGACAATTGAAAGACGGGGGCCACGCTGGTGCGATTGTAGCCATGACACCCTCATTATGAACCGTAGTGTAAAGCGGCTGTCTTAGAATACCAAGACTACTCGGGACTAGCCTGAAGACCTCACGTCGTGGCCAGCAGATGTCGACAATTGGCACTTACCTCGTGAACATCTGTGCTGCCATACGCAGGGATGGATTTGGTGACTTGGCAATTGTGTTCGGGCAGAAAATGGTCAGTCCCCCACCCCCCACGTGCTGTGGCTGGCTTAGGAGCTTATGATTCAGTTCCTTAAGATGCTCGCAGCATGTGGAGCAATACGTGGCACGACCCAAGAACACATCCGAGAGCTGTAGTTGTGTTAATGGAAAATTGATCGCTGTGCATGTGTCTCATTTTCTTCACCGGATCGGGCAGACGAATCATAAAGTTCCCAAGTGAGGTGCGGCCCCAGAAATGTAAACCTTTAAAAATTGGGGACCCTACGTCGGCGAAAACAACGTGAAATCTATTGCCTGCTGCTAATTCTCACACTATTGGTTCTTTCGGTAAAGTCACGTATAAAGATAAAATAATAAATTAAATAATAGCATACTACGACGTTTCGATTGCAACACAAGCAATCATCAGGTATAAAAGAAATAGCAACAAAAATCTGACCAGAAAACTATAGACAGACATTTAATTTATTATTTTATCTTTATACGTGACTTTACCGAAAGAACCAAAGAATATTTCCTGCAGTCACGAAAGCTCCAAAATTATAATTCTCATTGTTGTGCAGTTTAACCCATTGTGTGTGTGTGTGCTTAATGGTGAATTGTTGACTGAACACTGCGTTGGCATTGTCGTGCAGAAATCCGCCACGGCCGTGGCGCATTGCAAGCGCGGCAATGGCCTCATCAAGGTGAACGGGCGGCCACTGGAGATGGTGGAGCCAGCGACTCTGCAGTACAAGGTAAGGGGGGGGGAGACCCCTTGAAAAGCGTGGGAAGATAAAGTGCGATGGCCGGTTTCTGGTGGTCCAGATTACTTGATAATCTGCTTAGTCCTGTGAAAGTTAGTATCGTACGTAGCTAATCTGGAGATGCTAATTATTGTTATGTAAGAGAATTGTCCTGATAGTGGATTGCCATTTTTTACATGGCTGATACGTGCAGAATCTGATGGTAGCGTGAATTAACCTACCTGCTATTCAATTGAAATGAGATTCTAAGAGAGCGTATTACTGTGTTGGCAAATGTGTTTGTCAGTGTATGAGTGAGTGGATATTACTGTGTTGAGCTTGACTGTGCATCTGTTGATATCCAAGGCGTCCATTAAATAAATCGTCCATTAATGAAAAATTATAAGCAGATGGCAATTTGAAATGTGATTTAAGCTTGGGGGTTTGGGAAATGGAAGGATGTGCCAAAAAATCAGCTAGGATGGTGATATTATACAGCACAAAACAAACATTTTTAAACCATCGCAATGTAGGCGATCATCTGGGTCTCATTGACGAATATCTGAGCTCAACGGCTAATGTCAGTGACAAATATCTGAACTGCTGCTGGGCCTTCCCTAGGTCGACTCAGCCATGAACGAGGACATGGTGCTGTGTGCAAACATTACCGCTTGTGGGAAAAGGTGTGGTATTAGCTACCCACCCACTCGTGTGCCGTGCCGGCCACCATCGGTGGGGAACCATGGTGGCGAGATGTTGACTACCTCGCCTGGTATACATGAGGTCGGGGCTTTTTTTCCACCTCCAGTTCAGTTTTCCCTCCATTTATAAACGTGTGCCTAAGAGTTTTTGGCCGCTAAAAATTTCCACGTGATATGTCACTGCGTTGAGAAGTTATTTGTCGCCAGGTCGCTCCTTCAAAAGAACTACATAGCTCAGTGGGCTTGACCTGGTATAATAAATAACAATTATAGGTGCTCGCTAACAGCAATTGCCCCAGACTGTTAAAGGCCACGGGGGGGGGGGGTGGTCTTTGTCTTTGTGTCTCACGGTGTGCTCACCTTGCCGTGTCCCTGCATGTGCAGCTGCTGGAGCCGATCTTGCTGCTGGGCAAGGAGCGGTTCTCCGCCGTCGACATTCGTGTGAGGGTGAAGGGAGGTGGCCATGTGGCGCAGATTTACGGTGAGGTTTTTATTTATACACGTGGGAACAATTACTTTTTCTGCTTATCTACGTTTCTGCCAATCTTACACTTTGAATTCGGATGTCCTAAGACATCGGTCACAGTAAACTTGATGATACCTGACCATTGTGTTTTTAACGTACAGCTAATGAAATAATAGTAACGCGAAAGTTTTGTTCTCATAAGGCTTCTGTGCATTGCTATCTTACTGCTTGCATGCCGCTGCTGTTTTATATTCGTCAATATAACGAAAGCGTTTGTCGTGTGCTCCCACAGCCATTCGCCAATCCATCTCCAAGGCACTTGTCGCCTACTACCAGAAGTGTAAGTCCTACCTTGTTTTTATACTTGTTTACCCAGCAAAGCCTCACCGAGTCTCCTCTTGACTCTTTCATGCAGGGTCCCTGCAAAGTTTTTGCCATTGGGGGCGCAGTGACAGCTATACATGTACCTATGGTGAACTTCTTTTTGCACCGTGCATATCCAATCCGTGCTAATCCAAGTTGACTAAATTGCGGGTTACACTTTTAATTTGGCCATCTTTTTTAAACCATGACGCCGGCACACGACGCTCTACTCCTTCGAATGCCGTCGCGGGATCTTTAAAATGCCCGCCGTGACAGACGGCACGTGGAATATTTATACAACGAAAACGTTCGGCAGTGAGGGGGGGGGGGGTTTGGCCGCTGGATTCGAACCGTGAGCCTCTTTGGGTGAGAACGCTGCCGCTAGGCCACGTCACCGCGCACCCCCAGCCTCTGTATAAAGCGTGTTTCCAGTGAGGTGCAAGCAGCTGCCTTCCGTGGTCTATGCTGCTCGTGTTTTAACTTGAAGGTGCCACTCGTGTGTACATCTGTCTCTACCCTTGATCTCCCTTTGGCACTCTGTTCCTGCATCTCATCGTTCCTACCCTCCTAGTATCTCCCCCCCCCCCCCCTGTCTGCATTAATCATTTGCTTTGTTTTTTCCACTCTGGTCTCTTTCCCCCCACCCAACCCCCTCTTATACTTACCCTCATCTCCACTACCCTCCTTGCCTTTTAGATGTGGACGAAGCCTCCAAGAAGGAAATCAAGGACATCCTGACACAGTACGACCGTACTCTGCTGGTTGCCGACCCTCGCCGCTGTGAGCCCAAGAAGTTTGGTGGCCCCGGCGCTCGTGCCCGCTACCAGAAGTCCTACCGATAAACCTTCTCGGCGTCGTGGCTCCGCTGCCAAATTCGTAATAAAAGCGGATGCGTTGACAGCTTCTCCCCTTGTTTGGAGGTGTGCATTATTTGCCGAGTGTGTGCATAGTGGTGGTTGCAGCCGGTTGGGCTTGAGTAGCTAAAAACTAATTTGAGGTTGTGTTTTGGCTTGCGGAGCATGGAGAGAGATGATGATTGGTCGATTAAATTAATCGGCTAAACTGCGGTAGACTACTTTTTTTATAATTATTTTAACTTGTAATGTGCTACACGGCTTTTGCTTGCACTCAAAGAGAGGGTAACTCGGAGGCTTGGCGAGGAACCACGCAGTGGGCCTGTGCCGACAATCGCTCAAGCTCTGCGGTCCTCGGTTGTTAAGATGTTCGCCAATTAATCTGTCCCTGTGGGATGAAACTGGAGCACTGCAGAACACGAGCGCAAGGGGGCAACACTGTCCCATAAACACGGAACGTGGAGGTTATATTGTTTTGCTGTACTGCGTTCTGGCAAAGCAGCTTGATGGGCAGCTCTGCCTATGGGTAGAATTTCGTGACATTTGTGCGTTCCAACAACCCTCACCTCCACAGTGTTGGAATGTAGCCACCACCGCCCAGTCTTGATGGATAATTTAGGCCTCTTTAAAGATCGTAGTCGATCTTGTCTCCCGATAATGGGACGTGTCCCAGAGTTAAGCACGAAATGATGCTGATCACCAAGACCTGCCCACCTTCCATCCAGTTGCTGGCAAGGGAACAGGGATGGGACTTGTTTAAAGTTATTATAGTAAGTAATTGAATTGATATTCTTTTTGAGAGATTATTTGATTAGATTCCTCTGTTCTGCACGGGTGTGGTTACATTAAAGCAATTGTCCAGTTGCATGGAATTGCAAGCGAGTGAAGCTGCTCAATAATCGGGAACTACCAACCATTGCTTAAAAACAAGTGTTTTAGATTTTTTGGTAGCGACATGCGAGGCTTACCCAATGGGTCTAGGACGCGAGATTAATCACATCCCCTACGGCGATATAAGTGATTAATGTGTCCCTGATGGTGATCTGAAATGAAGTTCGTTGGAACAACGTATGTTGCAGGGAGAAGATTAAAAACAGATGGAGAGTTTGTGCTTTGAGGGATTGCATGTAAATGATAGTGCATTCATGTGCTGATAGAATGAAGAGTTTATGCAAACCTCTCCAAGCTGAACTAATTGGCAGAATATCATTTCTGTTTACGGGGGTGGGGTATATGGTCCACTAAAAATAAAAAACTCCATATTTCTCGATTGGGATACGTGGCAGCATTGCTCCAAACTAAACACTTGGCAGAGCCATCCTAAAAATATATTTTTTATACCAGGAAAAAGCCACGCAGGTAGTTCGTTTTCAGAAGTGGCCTGACTGCACGGTAGTTCAACGAAGTGGCTTATGTGGAAATGCATAGCATCGAAATACTCTCAAACGCACGTTTCTAAAAGAAAAACCGGAGGACCCGGAGAAAAAATGGGCGTGACCACGGGGAGAACGTGCAGACCCGGTTGGGAGTTGACATTGCGGCACCCCAAAAGTATGGGGACTCAGGATTTCGCGAGTAAACGTGTAACAAGCTGAGTAATGCCCAAACACTCTAAAAAAAATTCCTCTACAAATTGCAAGTGAAATCACTTATCTACCAACGGTAGGCATTTATAAACTATGAAACAAAAAGCTGTCCCCATGACCCTCAAATCCACACTACACAACCACTTTGACACTGCCTAACAAACAAGATCAGCTGACACGACTCAACAAATCCTTACAAAGTGAATATTTAGTAGTCACTCCGCAGTGTTCGTTGCTAATTCGTCGTTTGCGGCACCAACTGCCATCACCATTGCTGGTGTGTCCTAGAGCGTGGAGCCCGTGACCTGCTACGTGTCCCCAGTGCAGCCTCGCGTCGTGACATCGTCTCCCATCGCAGCCACGGGCGCATGTTTCACCGCCCTGAGTGGGTCTCAAACGGCGTGGCGACGATACTCGAAGCTGCTCGCGATGAGCGAAGGGAAATCTCTCACTCGGAGGACGCCTTCACAGCTGCCCCGAGGCACAAATCGGACTGTGGCGTTACAGCGGTTTATCATACGAACAACTTAAAATGGTATCTTCAATAGACAATGCACGTGGAAATAATAATTTAAACAAAACTATAGAAAAGTATTATTTTATGAGAAAATTGATATCTCATCTTGACGCCCCCAGTGGACGAGCCGCGCCGTGTACGGATGTGAACAATTTCGCGCTTTTCGTTCAAACAAAAAAAGGCGAAATAACGCTACGGAATTTTTTTAAAAGGCTCTGTGCATTGACAACAAAAACAATATCCAGGGAATTTGTGGAAATTTATCGACGGTTACCAATGGTGACGTAAACAGTTGTCAACCCATTATTAGTGACCTAATTACAGACCAATGCAGACCTCTTTCGGTAAAGTCACGTAAATATAAAAATACAATATTCACTTTATTATTATTTTTCTATCTACGTGACTTTATCGCAAGAACCAAAGAAAATGAATCCCTGCAGTCACGAAAGTTTAAACGGTCACCCCGTTTCCCTTATAAATTTCAACGTTAATCCTACAAAGTCCATCACGAGGGAGAAACACAAAAAATAGACAAAACTATTTTGGAACTCAATCTCCCTGTACAAGAAGCACGGGCTAACCGTATGTGGTTGACAGGCGTGCGTACACGAGGCGTGGTGAACGCCGCGATTTCCCCATGCGGAATTTGGCGATGCTGCAGATTTCTTCGGCCGTTCCGACTTGACTTGGCGCTTCCGCGGATTTCACCCACAGCGGACATTTAGCGCCTCTGCCGCGGATTTTCCTAGGGCGGATTTAAGGAGCGCTGCCGCAGTTTACCTTGATGCAGTATTTGCTGCTGCCGCGGATTTTCACAGCGGCCATTTGGTACTGCCGCGGATTTTTTTTGTGTGTGTTTTACATCGTGCCCCTTTTAACCGCTGTCGCGAATTTCACAGGGGACATTTGGCGCTTTCGCGGATTTTCCACGTCAATTCCACAAGGGCTGCCGCAGATTCCACATCAAATTCATGAGGGCTGCCGCGCATTTATACATCAAATCTACGACACTGCAACGGATTTCAACATAAAATCCACGAGGGTTGCCGTGGATGTCCATATGAAAGCCATGAGGGCTGCCGCGGATTTCCACACAAATTCGCGACGGCTGCCGCGGATTTCCACATCAAATCCGCAAGAGCTGCCGCGGATTTCCACATCAAATCCGCGAAAGCTGCCGCGGATTTCCACACAAATCCGCGAGAGCTGCCGCGGATTTCCACATCAAATCCGCGAGACCTGCCGCGGATTTCCACGTCAAATCCGCGAGTGCTGCCGCGGATTTCCACGTCAAATCCACGAGGGCAACCGCGGATTTCCACGTCAAATCCGCGAGTGCTGCCGCGGATTTCCACGTCAAATCCGCGAGTGCTGCCGCGGATTTCTTTCACCCCCGCACCTCCGCGGCGCCGAGTGTCATGGCCGCCATCTTCGCTGGCTGCGCGCTGCGGTGAAGGCGGCTCCTGCTGGGCGGCAGCGGCGGCGGAGGAGAAACTGAAAACAAATTCAACGGCGACGACATCTGACGACGTAAATTTAGAGCGGGGAGGAGGAGAGGGGGGGGGGGCGGAGTCGCTGAAGCGGAGGGTCAAAAAGGGGGGTCGGTCGCCACGACGGAGGCGGCGTCGTTTCTGAGGAGAGGAGCAGGAGGAGAAGCGCGCCAACTCGCGAAATGCCGGCCGTGTCCAAGGGCGATGGCATGCGCGGCCTCGCCGTCTTCATCTCGGACATCCGCAACTGTGAGCGCCACCCCCATTCTTCTTCTTCAACCACCTCGCATCCACACGAACCACCGCCTTCTCGGTCGCGCCATTTCGTTACCGCCGCTGCTGCTGCTGATGCTCGTGAGGACGTCTCTGTCGATGTCTCTGTTGGAATGATGTGGGGGCCCCCTTCCCCGCCTTAGGTGGTGGTGCTGGTTGTTGTTGTGTTCTCGTCGGCCCCACTGCCCCGCAGACTCCATGCGGCTTGCGATGGTTGCACGCCGTCACTGCGGTTCGTGCCCTCGACGATGTTACCCGTCGTCGTCAATGCTCTCTGCCAGGGCTCTCTGGCCTTGCACCTTCTCTCTCTTTCTCTCTCTCTCAATAATAATGATGATGATGATGAAGGCGAGTGTCGTGCGCCTGATGCGTGAGGCGCATCGTCGTCCGTGTCTCGAGTGTCGGGGACTGTGAACGTTCCCCTCGGAGTCGATAAGGCGACGTGGCCGCGGGGCCCCGCTCCGTTCGTCGCCCCCAGAGCCCGTGGAGCTCGCGGTGTTTTTAGGGGCACAGACCACGACGACCACCACGACCACGACCACGACGACCACGACGACCACGACGACCACCACGACCACCACGACGACTACGGCCACCACCTCGTGCACGATTTGTTGTTTGTACGCCGTCAGAATCGACTTTGCCGCATTGCCACATTCACAGCTCAAAGCCAAAGGTCCCCCCCCCACCCACCCGGGGTGTGTCGCCTTTAACAGACTTGTCGCCTTTAACAGACTTGTCGCCTTTAACAGACTTGTGGGGGGCAAGTGCTGTTAGCGAGTAAGCGGCACAAACCTCGTGAAGGGGGGGGGGGGGGCCGGCACTGTGGCACACACCAGGGGTTGGGTGGGTGGCCCAGCACAACCACGCCCGGCCGCCTTTATCTCCCCTAATGGCGATGTTTATACACTGCACCGGGGATACTCATTTGAGGCTGAGTCGACCTAGGGGGGGTAAGCCCAGTATCGGGTTTAAGAACACATTTCTGCGGAGGGAGCTGGTAGGAACGTTGGGTTGCTCGGTCAATGGCCAGGGTCAACGGCGGCGTGGTGTATTCCGCAAATATGCCCGACTGTGAGGGCGGGCACAAGCCGGCGTGAGTAGGTTAAACGTTGAGTTTTATAAGGGCACCACGGGGTGACCAGCCCCTCCCTGCAGGACGGACGGACACAATAATCCTCTGTGGGCTGGTGTAACCAGGAGGTTCCTACCAGTATATAAACTGCTGGCGTTGACCCGCGAGCGGGAGCTGGAATCGAACTGAGGTCGCCGGCTTCGTGGCGCAGCGCGCGATGAAAACCAACCCCGGCATGCCACGACCGCTCCTCGCGAGCCCATCGTCTCCTCGCTGAGATAAACGGCACGGCAAGGATCGAATAATAACAATAAGTCACTGTTCGATTACAATTTGCATTGCACAGCTGTTGCAGCAACGTTGCGGACGGGGAGAGCGAGCGAGACGCGTTGTTGCACATGCAATTATAATTATTGATTGTGCCGAATTGAATGGCGTGTGACCGTGGTCATAATCATCCCCTCGGTACTAATAATTACCGAAAGAACCGGAGAGTATAATAATGATCCCCTCAAATCTCCTAATAACATCCATTTTCTGCTCCCGTGCAGTTTGAGCAGCAGTGGAGCTTGCTTGTCATGCCGCGCCTGGACCAGTTACTTGATTGAGCGACAACCTGTAATCTCACTGGCACGGCGTACTAATAACCTGCACATTTATATTCTTGGTTCTTTCGGTAAAGTCACGTAGAAGGCAAACAATAAAATAATAAAGATATTAAACAATAAAATTTTCACGACGTTTCGATCATCAAGTGTGAAAACCACAGCAAGAAAATGTGCTTGCTGTGGTTTTCACACCTGATGATGATTGCTTGTGTTGCAATCGAAACGTGATCATTTTATTGTTTTATATTTTTATTATTTTATTGTTTCCCTTCTACGTGACTTTACCGAAAGAACCAAGAATATTAATCCCTGCAGTCACGAAAGCTTTCAATCAAAACCTGCACATTATTTTCACGACACATCAGCACGTACGTAAACATATATATATATAACCCAACCGACAATGGATTACCCATTGTAATTTCTATGCATTCATTCATTCCGCCCCACCGCCACTTCACACGTGAACTGCTCACAAATCACGTCATCACATCTTTCCCTCTATTTAGGGAACGAAACAGGAGGAGGATTTCTCCACAAATTTGGCTGTCTGCCTGATGATGCTACTTGTAATTACTGGCGAAACGTCGTACTCGGATTGTAAACGTTGTGGATTTGCTGTCCAACACACCGTTGTGCTGTACTAGTGACGAATCGACATGTTGTTTTTACGTGACACTAAACCTTACTAATTGGCTGTGGCGGGTTTAACGACACATTTATATTTACGCGATTTAACAAAAAAACATATTTTGGATGATATTGATAGCGAAAGCCTACGTGTTAAACAGACTATGTTAAATCATTATTCGTAGTTAAAAGTGTGCAGTGTATTTAATTTGGGTTTTTTGTTGACCAAACCATCTCAATCCTATGCAGGACCCTTCCGAAATTTTGAGTTTTCGGGCTCATTGTGGTAGCAGCTCTGCCGGCCACGTACATCATTGTATTGGTGTTAACCTTGGCCTGCGGATTATTGAAAGATGGTGGCCGCGCATCCCAGACGATGTGGGCCGTTTCGTCAACCACCGCAGTCTGCACTCCGAAATTTGAGGGATTGGAATGCACGAGCAGAAGCTCTTGTCGGCTCCCTCTGTCTCTCTCTCTCTCTGCCGATCGGTGGACTCAAGCGGCAAACGACTGAGCAGTGGTTCCCAGGGCCCGGGTTCGCTAAGCCGTAACAAGCGGTCCCGTTGAGACTGGCGCAGTCGTCACTACGACGGTGTTGTACTTCGCTGACACCAGAAACATATTTGTGCTACCCCTTGGACAACTGTTCAGATAGTGGCCAGCGCAACCCAAACAGTGGACCGTGTAGTTAAACCCAGTGTAGCTACACGAACTCTCTCTCCCTGAAGCCCCCCCTCGTCATGTCCAGCAGCAGCAGACTCTTAGAGATACAATAAAGACCAGCCACAGTAGGAGTGTGATTGTGGCAATGCAACCCAAACTATTGACCGTATAGTATAAACCCATATAGAGATACATAGTGACTCTTGGAGATACATAGAGACCCACAAAGATACATTACAGATACAAGCCACAGTAGTGTGATTGTGGCCATGCAACACAACCTATGGACCACAAAGTTAACCCACTGTGGTTGTGTTCCTTCAACGGAGGAGGAGAACAGCGACATGACACAAACTCTCTTGCTCTGCTGAAGCCCTCTAGTCGTGACCAGTAGCAGCAGCAGACCTCGACTTTGGCATTCATCTCCTGAATTACTTTGGGGCTGCTGCCATCGTGTGCAAGGATAGCCATTGAAATGAAAAGGTCTGGCATTTGTTTGTCTCTTGATATGCACAGCGAATGTGGCGAGGCTCTCTGTGTTGTTGTATGTTGAAACTTCTTTCGCACCGTACGAAGCCAACCATGCCAATCGTGTGTGCTAGCACCAATACCCGCCATTCACCACGAAGGGACGGTAACGTCACCATGGCGCCTGTGCCAGGCCAGGTGCACTTTTTGAGGCCACGTGAAGTGTTGAAGACCCAGGTGCCATTAGTTGGCTCATTGAAATGACTGGTAGATGCACCAGCTGTACCCCCTACTGTGCCAACTTGCTGCATTTTAGCCGCTCGGCGCTCCACTCATGTTGTGAGCATGCTAACAACAACAACAACCGCCATTCGCCACGAAGTGGCGGTGACGTCCCCACGGCGCTTGTGCCAAGCGATGTGCACGTTAAGGCCACGTGAAGTGTCAAACACCCGCTGGCAGGAGATCACGGGGCAGACCCAGGTGCCATGGGTCGATTTGAGATGTCTGGTCGATGCACCACCTGTGCCGCCTACTGTGCCAACTTGCTGTGTTTTAGCCGCCCGGCGCTCTGCTCGTTGTTGTCACCCGTTGCTCCTCTGCCGTTTATTGTTGCTGGAGGGCGACTGCCTCCAACTGCCCAGTAGCATCTTGACACTTGGTATCAGTCATCGGCAAGTCCACTCAGATCCACATCATTCTTGTTACAACATCACTCTATCTCTTATCTAGCCTGTGCCGCGCCCATTTAGCCTCCTCTATCTGGCCGAAAAAAAGCTGTTTCGGCATGTGGTGGCTGGGCATGCGGGCTACATGACCCAGCCAACGCACCCTTGTCTTCCAGAGGAGCTCATCGATGGGACTTTGTCCAGATATTTCAAGGATTTGTGAACTCCTCGCACAATCCAGCCAGGTTAAACCCAGGATGAATTTTAGGCAGGCCAGTGTAAACGTTTAGAACTGGCAAAGATGTTCCATTTGGGGAGTCTATGTTTCGCAAGCGTAGAGAAGGGAGGGCATAACTGTGGCTCAGCAGAAACAAAGCTTCTTGTGGAGCGAAAGACCAGGTAGCTTCCACACAGCGTTACGCAGCCGATGAAAAGATAATGCCGCTCGACTGATTCGGAGTGAGACCTCTGCTGTCAAACCAGAGCTGGTCATGAGCACACTGCCCAGGTTTGGAAAACTCTCCACTCTCTCCACAACTGCCCCATTGCCAATTGAGAGTTGTGGGGGTTGAGTGTCTGATGCTACAAAATACCCAGGCAGGTGCTTAGTTTTTGTGGGGCTGATTGTAAGGCCCCACCTCTTAGTGGCATGCTCCAGGTTCAGCAGCAGTGCCTCCAACTCCTCTGAATGAGCAGCAATCACCAGATCATCGGCATACGTAACATTGTTGACCAATACAGAGCCATCCCTTTACCGCACCAGGGCATCGATCAGCCTCCCATTGTATCTGTACCAGATGGAAATTTCTCCGGTACAGCCATCGAAGGCTTTACGAACTACGTGATCGAAATCGTTGTTAAATAATGGACATCCCTGTCGCACCCCAAGGTGAACAGGGAATGGCTCCGACTCCCGGCCACATAGTTTTACCCGGGCCTGCTCACCATCATGAATGATTGTGAGCAGAGAGTCGGGGACTCCGAAAGCACGAATAACAACCCAGAGCCCAGGCCTACTGATGGTATCATAGGCCTTGACCAGGTCAATAAAGCAGAGATGTAGGTCTTGTTGGAATCCCTACACTTCTGCTGTAGCAGACGTGCTAGCCACACAAAAAATAAAGATCCCCCATATAGCCTTAACATACTATAGGGGCAAGTGCTGTTAGCGAGCACGTGCTAGCACACACACACGGACATAGACTTCGCGTTTATATTTATACTGAGCTGCATTGACCCGCCCCAAGCCCATCGCATAGCTTCTCCTGCATCACTTGCCGTCATTGGTTCGCCTGCATTGACTGAAATGACGCGTGCCGCTCTTCCTTCTGTTGACATCCAACCAACCGTTCCAACGTGCAACCATCCCACCGCTATTTTAGCGATATAATTTATTACACCACTTGCGTATAAACTTGCATTGTAATTATAGCATGGTGCATACATTACTCAACTGTTGTAAGTTACAATACCACCTCTCTCCAGTTAATGTACTTGAAGCCCCAACGAAACGTCAGCTATTGTAATGCATGTTTAATTAACGTTCCACTAATTAATGATGTACGCTAGTGGATCACGAGGGAGGGGTGTGAGGTGGCTGAACCCCAATGCAAAATCTTAACGTTTCAAACCCTCTATCTCTTAAATGCTCAATATTAGTGAACCATGTTTCAGAATAACACGTAATCAATATCTATAACCGTGTACAGTACACGTACTGTATTTATATTTTCTTCACATCAATTTTTTCCCGCACGCGATAATGACACATTTTGCAGCAGGTCCGCTCGTTCGATGCTGCACCGCCATTTCATATTTGACGGGGGAGGGGGGGTGGGAAATCGCTGATGCTTGGCCACATTTTATCATCCAAACCTCCTGATAATAGTTTTCGGTCAGAAAATAACAAACATATATACACAGGTTATAAAGTGTAAAACTTATGATGCATAAGCATGGGTTTTCTTGCTAAAATATCAGACAATAAACCCGTAGAAATGTTTTGTTCTTTCTGAAAAATAATGGACGATAAATTATTGCCGCATAAGTATTTTTTTTCCTGGTATCATTGCTATATGTAACATACAGTATGTATATACCTGGGACTGAACATAGCATTGTCTTCTTGTAGGAGACGATAAGGCTGACGTGCAGTAGCCACATGAATGTGTGCTACACGATGACGCGCTAGTGCACCCGCTACTTAGCAACGCAGCTCTGAAGTGCATGTGCCGAGTCTCTTGGAGGTCCAAGCCCTCGGGACACGTACTATCATTGCTGACTGTGCAGACGTAAATCACTAATGTAAACACAGATGAATAGAATGAAGGTACCTTTACAACGCTGTTCTTCACTAATGTTCAGAGGGGGGTGCCACTTTCGCCGATAAGAATCATCAGTGTGAGGGCCACCACACATTTGAAGGCATTGGGGTTTGACAGCAGCACGATAATGGGGGTGGGGAGGTGTTTTCACATTTTATGTGTTTGTCGGGTGCTGCACTAAAGGCCACCAGCGCCTGTTGGCCTTGCAATCAAGAACATTACTATACATTTTTGAGGGTTCTGTTGATGCCTGTTTCGCTGAGAACTAAACTGACATCCGTAACATAAAATTGGGTTGATCGTTGTTAATTCCCAGGGATTTTTCTTCAGTGGTACATTTATATACGCTATGTAAATATATACGCTTGGTAAATATATACGCTATGTAAATATACCCGTTATCCAGAAAAGCTACCACACAGAGTCTTGAGACTACTGTTCTCATATTTACTTGTTTCGTATATGAATATTCCCATATGTATATTATGAATGCATTATAATAACTTTAGTACCTTTTCGCAGTAAACCGTGGTTATTTTTTCAGAAATCAAAAATTGCAAACATTCATTTTATATATATACTACAATCAGGGATATAAAGTTATCATGCTGATTTCTCCCGTTATCTAATTCAGGTCGGCATCTGATCCGATTTCATTTCTGGATCCTGCTGATTGTCGGCTAATATCCACATCCAATCCGGACTCGAATTTGGTTGCAATTCCATTCTTGTTTCGCACGTTCGGAGGCAGCATTTCATATCCACACATTTTCTTGAACTCTTCATTACATTCTCTACCCCACCCCATTGATCAATGCAGGTAAGAGATGCATTTGATTTCACGAACCGTTTCGTATGTTGCTGAGCGCAAACGTCGCTGTCTGGACAAGCAGTGTTGCGGGATGCAGGACCGTAGCGTAATGTCGTGCAATCATTCCTTGCCGTTGTCGTGCGTTCACCATGTGAAAAACAGTTGGTATATTTGAAATGCTTCATTACACGGAACGCAATGTTCAAGATTTAAAACGTTGGTATATTTTAAATGCTTCATTACACGGAACGCAATGTTCAAGATTTAAAACGTTGTCGACTTGGCTTCGCTTTCAAACTGTTGTGTGGAGGATGCAGTGTTACCCTAACATTTGCTTGATTAACGTGAATACAAAAAAACCCGCCGTGTCTCAAGGACTCTGTCACTGCTGACTCAGGTCGGGCATGTCAGAGTTAAGTAATGTGGCCCACCGAAATTAAGGTTTTAATCATGTTTGTCGTTTTCTCCGTGTGTGCTCCTGTGCCCTCTGTTCATTTTTTCATGCAGGCAAAAGCAAAGAAGCCGAGATCAAGAGGATTAATAAGGAGCTTGCTAATATTCGCTCCAAATTCAAAGGTGAGTTTCGTCACTTTCCTAAGACCCCCCCCTGGCGTTGCTGCTGATCTGTATAAAATGTTTACAAATTGGCGATATCTCCGAGCAATTTTGTAAGTCTCAAGTTAAATGGCGTCACCTTGATCCTCCGGTGTGTCATCGGTGAGCCAGCACAGGCAAAGGTGCTTACTAATGAGGAAAAAGGGCTTTATTTGCAAATTATTCCCAAGAAAAACCGGAGGACTTGGAGAAAAATCCATGCGACGAGGGAGCGTGAACTGTGTAAGACGTTAACTGCATCTCCTTTAATGTGTCTGCGAACTCTGCCGCCTTATCTGCTCCAAGCCTTTCAATTGTAATCGCTTAAAGACTCTGCTAATTCTTGATTTGAAGCTTTCGTGACTGCAGGAATCCATACTCTTTGGTTCTTTCGGTAAAGCCACGTGGGTAGAAATAAAATAAAAAAAATCACGACTTTTCGATCGCAACACAAGCGGTCGCCTGATGACGACGACGGCTTGTGTTGCGATCGAAACGTCGTGATTTGTTTTATTTTATTTTATTTCTAACTACGTGACTTTACCGAAAGAACCAAAGAGTATGGACTCTGCTAATTACAAGTCTGCCTCGTCAAATCTGTAGACAACATACAAAAAGGCCGCCGCTGATTTGTAGTCCTCACTCCACCAAAATGTTTTATTAGTCCCCACAATCATACCATCACTCATAATGTGGTGAGCATGATGTGTTCCCGCACCTCGGATGAGCACGGTTGGCTGTGCACGGTGCGAAAGAAGTTGGTCGTACATTCCTACACGCAGCATGGCCATTGGTGTTTTATGACGTGTGTACGCTGCCTACTGCATTCCCTCGGCATGTGTGAGGTTCCCGACTCGGCTCGGGTAGAGAAGCTATGAGGTTTGATTTTAGAAGTTTCCAAAGTTGTATTTCTTTAAAAATGTACGCGACTGTCGAAGTGACGTCAAACTGTTGCTTCACATCGCATCGGTAAGGTGCCATGATGCCATGATGCCATGACGCGCAAAGGTGTGCTGCTCGCAAACAGCAGGTAGGCGCAACTCCTGTCGTGCCTTGCGTCCATGTCACGTGCAATGCGACTCGGTCACATCGCACGAACAACACTCTTAAGCTCGTCTGCGCTCCCCTGCTCGGTAGCTTAATTTCTGTTTATTGTTGTTTAAGCCATCAACTCAAAACAACCTGGTGTTTTAAGTGTGGCCATCTTAACAGGCAGCAAGTCTTCGTTTTCTTCTTCCATATGGCTGCTGACGTAGATGCAGAGCAACAACTACTACATTTTAATATTTTTAAGTGGCCAAGCCAGATAACCGCATCAGGAGCAGCGGAATGTTATCGCAGTGATGTCCCCTTCCTATTTGTGGATTGGGCATTTTGTCGTTACATACGTTGTACGGTCTGTTCTGGATGACCACAGTCACACACTACTGGAAAGTTTTTAACTTTCCATTTGTGCATCAGGCATCTGCATCTGCCGTGCATTGGATGCAATTTAGGCTGGACCGTGAGCTTCGTGGAAGACCAAACCCAGTGATAATCTGCTCTGGGTCTTCCACAAGGTGTTTGTTTGCGAGTTCATTTGAACTCCATTCAGCTCTCCAAGCTTCATCGGGGTTGAATTCACATTTTTGAAGGTTAAGCGCATGGGTCCAAAAGGGCCTTACGTGACTTCAAGCGATGACGAGGGACGTTATTGAGGCGCTGATGAATGGGACGGGCAGCAGTGAAACGGAGACGGCTGTAGACCAGTTTCATCATCATTAGGCCTCATCAGTGGAGTCGGCTTTGTTGACTGCTGCCCTATGGCCTGCGAGCATATATATGCAGAGGGATTATCTTTACACTTTGGGGACCCCGACCCCCCCTCCCCTCCCTCAGCACAAATCCAAAGCTTTCTATAAATAAATATAAAACCCCATCACAACAGGAACGTGCGTGCGGACTGGAAACATTTAAATAACAACACATGGATGCTGACAAAACAGCAGGAAGGCACTCCCATCATGCTTTGCATGCATGTCATGTGACCACCACATTGCATGTACAATGCTGTCAGCCTTGTCTCTAAACCACCAGACTTTGATATATCGCTCGTAACGTTATTACATGCTTTTTTCTCATTTAATAAAGCTTCATGCACGCGTCTGGCAGCCTGGAACACAAAGCTTTTAACTATGTTAGTTCAAAACGATATCTAAATTATGCACTTTTTTCTGGAGACAAGTTAATAGCAAGAGAAAATGCATGCAGACCAGAAACGAATGATAATTGTTTTAACAACGAAGTGTCTTTAAACGGCAAAAATATTTTGTAATCCCAGTATATTTTGCTTATCCAAGCTGACACCACAAAATTTTTGTTGTATTCTGCACTCAGCCTTGTGACAGCCATCACCAATAGATGAGGTGGTGGCAATGGTGTTTTTCTTTATTATGTCTCTTCAGTACCTTATAGCCATAATTGCCTCGTGTTGTTATTTGTGCCCAGGGGGGTGGTGTTTATATTAGCCAGTCCTCCACTGCAGACATATTCGGCATGGCCTAAGGGGAGAGAACCTATATTAATTCGTAATTTGTTCTCGGCCTGTCAACATTTTTGGCTGCAACTTGGAAGTGTGCCTCTTCAGCGGAGATAAAAGTTCATAAAAAAACACATTGTGCTTTGCCCCCATTTTTGTAAGCTTTTACAAAGCTGAAAAACCAACAAGAAAGTATCTCGTGCACCAGTGGCAGGAAAGCATTCAGGGATTCATGTCAATTTTGTTGGTGACATCTGTTATGCTTGATACAAAACCATATTAACAATGTATTATAGCTGCCTTTGAAATATCTTTCCTGTCCTACATATCTGTTACACTCTTCGCACACGCCCTTCATAATGCCATGCGAGTACTCGGAAGCAACCTTTCTGCATGGCAGTTCACCATGCACGTCAGTTAGTTGCGAGTTTGACTCCATGCTTTCGGCGTGGCTTTTTACCGTCCCGTTAGCAGTGAGTTTCACTCGGAAGGTTCAGTTTTGGTTCAATATACCTAGGCTCGTTCAAATTCTGAGCGATTGAAATCGGATCGTGTGCCGCAGTTGGGTGGATTGTTGCGTAGTGGGACCGAACAGGATACACGACAGCCGCTTTGGGTGAGTCCTCCTCCAGCAGTGTGTCAATGGTGGCTAGTGAAGATGATGAGTGTACCATCTGCCTGCGTACTGCAGCTGTAAGGATTGAAATACTAACGGAAAAGAAATTGGAACAAAAGCTGAAAAGTTTACGTGCAAAAGCATTGAGAAATGAGCGGTCAGAATTGCACTTCTACTTCCGTACTGCTGCTGATGTTAGATGCAGAGCAACAACTACGATTTCATATTTAGGTGGTCAGGCCCAGACAACCAAAGCAGTGGAGTAGTATATCGCTGTGGTGATGTCTCCCTCGTATTTGTGGGTCGGAGCGGGGGGCCGAGCGGAGCGCATGTATTATTGGGGAACCAAATGTAAATCGGCAACGTCATTGTCAAGAGACGCACATGGGCTTTTAAAAGAGTTAAAGGTCACGGGCCACCTGATGTTTAGGTGCGCCGGGCACGGACGTCGTGAGGTGCTGCGTTCACCAAGTGGGAGTCCTGTTATTCTGGTTGTTACAGCGGCGGCCTCTTGGCGTTTGTTTATGGATTCCAGTGTGCGGAGGGGAAAACTAAACGTGTACTACTGACTGCATAGCTCTACGTCAGTATTCTGCAACCTAATTAAAACAACACCGTACAGTTTTTGGGGTTGAATCTTAAAGTTTAAGCGACGTGTTTTTTAGGTTGTTACAGTGTTCGAGACTGAAAAAACTAGTTGGGGTGTTTAAAATTATGCTTGAAGATTTGATGGGTTAATCAACAGTCCAGAGCTATTTTCATACCAACCTTGTGTGTGTATATATACACGCAAAACACATCTTGAGCAGGTGACCCAGGAGAGAAGAGAGCCCTGATTTTGGCGGCAAGGGATGCGGGTTTGCACGCTTAATGCTTTTCCTGCAAAAGCAGCAAGTTACTTGGGCTTGCGTCACAACCAGCAGCGATGTCAGCATCACTCTTCCTGCGTAATTGGGAAGTGGTGTTTTTATTGTTTTAGCCGCTCTGTGTTTTGCACGACCACGTACCAAGAAAATATGTTGCGCAATGCCCTTCAAGCTCGCTTAAAAAAAAAGTGGCCGGGTGACTCGGAAGATAGAGTGCTGAGCTGGCACCTAATATCCGGGGTTTCATTCCAGGAAACTGCCTGTAATGTTGTTTATTGTGCCCCTGATAACCAATGTCTTCACACACAAAAACCTAATAAAATGCGGTTTAGCATTGAATTCATCTAAATTCCAGCTTTTGTTAATAACAAAACAAATTCGAAGTTCTATCATGCGATGAACACTGCTCTCTGTAGCATGCTGGGTTGGATAGTGCTGCCCCCTCGTAGGTAAGAGAGCACTCGGAAGCAGTTCTGTGATACCTCCTTCCGTGGACCGTTATCTAACGCGGGGTGAGACTCTCATCCGCGAGAGTTCCCATTTGTGTTCTTCGCCTTCACGGTGCCGTTTGTTGCTGGCCGCTTGACTGTCGTCTTTGGCCCTGTGCTTGGCAACTCTTTTTAAACAAATATATATGTACACTTGACCACATAGGAAAACTGCATCCTATGTTTTTTCATGCGTGTCCATTCCTCTATATCCGTGTGCTTGTAGGTGACAAGGCGTTGGATGGATACAGCAAGAAGAAGTATGTGTGCAAGCTGCTGTTTATTTTTCTTCTGGGCCATGACATTGACTTCGGGCACATGGAGGCTGTCAATCTGCTCAGCTCCAACAAATACACTGAAAAACAGATTGTAAGTGGCATTTGCGCACACGGTAACGGCACTGCCTCAATGTCGATGGCTTCGCCATCGTGAGCGGGATTCGAACTCCAGCTTAATCATGCCCGACGGTGGCTAGGAACGTTTGTCCGCTGAAAACATTTTCGCCACTGTTTTTGGTCTTGAGCGGAAATCGAGCGCAGGTCGCCGGGTTCATAGAGCGATGCGCTACGCACTACACCCATGCTTAACACACATACACGTGGATGGGTGGGACTTCATGCCTCTGCTCAACAGCAGGTGTCAAGAGCATCATCGTCATAAAGATCATCGGCAGATACAGCGGCACCGTTAGTATCATTGCGCTGTGGTCACACGAAGCTGTTGGACGCGCAAGCAGCCGTAACTGCCCAATGTCCGTCATTTAAAAATGTCTTTCAGCGTGACTTTTCACAAATTATTGCAATTCTTCGAACATATTTTCACAGCCCAACAGTAATATGTACACACGTTAATGCGTGCACCCACACACGCGCTGTTTCTTAAACATGCGTACCAGGGTGTACACATGTACGGTAAGTTCTCGCTTAACGCGTGTTCACACACCGCGTTTTCTTGACGATGCAGTTCTTTTTAATGAGGTAACACTTTTCGCACAACGGGGAACGCGTGCCATTATAATGTGGAATTTTGCCCGTTATAACACTGTTTCTGAGCGGTCGATGACGAAGAATTTTTAAATCCTTTATATTAAGTTCACTTGCTTGCTTGCTTGCGCGCTTACGACCGTGCAAATCTTTCGGTCGTTTTTTTACCCACTTCCCGTGATCCAATCGAGCTGACATTTTGCACACAGACTCGTGCGTGACAATTTATTTTCGTGAAAATTTTTTTCCAAAATTTTCAACATTTTAGGAAAAATATATATATTTAATTACCAATTGCTTAATGGTGGCAGGCAATCATCTGACCCATAGATGGCAGCCATCTCAAGCCAAAGGAAGAGAGGACTCTAGCCGCCCGTTTCAAAGACCAATGTGGGCTGGCACGCATATAAAGGATTTATAGTGAAAAACTTTGTTTTTACGGGTTAATTTTTCTTTAGCTGCACGGCTAAACGAAATGATACAGTACGTTGAATGATAGAGTGCATGGCGGCATACCCTCATCTCGGTTCTCTGTCCCGCCATAAGATGAGTGCATGCTAATTTTATCGTGCAAACTTGGTTCATATTTTCATTGCTTTATTATTTATTCATGCCCTGTAATGTGTAAACATGCAGTAATTTCTCACTTTGCACGATTTAGCTTGACTTGGCATTTTCAGGAACGCATCTGTTGCGTCAAGCGGGGGAGTCGCCGCGTAGGCGTGCGTGTTGCAACGTGCGCTCGTGTGTACGCGTGCAAATCCTTTGGTTCGTGCTCGCGTGAGGATTTCGCATCTCTTCCTCATTTTCCTGGACAGGGCTACCTGTTCATCTCGGTGCTTGTCAACTCCAACAGCGAGCTGATCAGGCTCATCAGCAATGCCATCCGCAACGACCTGTCGAGCCGCAACCCCATCTTCATCAACCTTGCCCTGCACTGCATCGCCAATGTGGGCAGTCGGGAGATGGCCGAGGCGCTGGCGTCTGAGGTCCCGAAGCTCCTCATCGCTTCGTACGTCCCGCCCTGTTTTTTCACGCTTGCATGTGTGCGTGGCGTTTTTTCGATCGATCGATCTTTATATTACGTGCCAAAATCGCTCGCAATTTAAAATAGGCGTCGGTGCACATTGCACAGCGGAATGGTACGGGTGGGGGGGGCATATGAAACTTGTCCTGACCTCAGCGGCTAACACAGACTGAGCAAGTAGATTGCAAGCATGTGCAACGAATAGCGTAAGAAAACAAAGTTTATGAAATAAAAAGTAAAGGAGCAGTTTTTTTCTCCCTTAAATTTTTGTTTTAATGGGAAGGCAAGTCTTAAGAAGAGTTAGTTTCTATAATCTATTATTGTTATTACGCTTGCTTACACAGGAAAGCCTCGCCGAATCGCTAGACTTTATTTTCAGGAGAATTCCGCCAAGTTGTCGCAGTAGGCAGGCGATGTTTTTGCTCCTGCTGCTGCTGTATTCATCCCAATTGACTAATTTACCGGTACATTAACAGCATTGGGATGTCTTGAGAGTGCTCGCATATTATGAAACTATTTAAGCTATTTTTGTTTTACCAGGTAAGGCCCACAGAGCTACATAGCTCCTTTTCAGAAGCGACCTGGCCACTAATGATAGCCCAACGAAGTGGCTTATCACGTGGAAATTTATAGCAGCAGCCAGATACTCTGACCGTGTGATGTCGATTCTAAATGTAGAGGGAAAAACCGCAGGACCTGGAGGAAAATCCACGCGACCATGGGGATAGGACATGCAAATTACAAATATACAGGTGTCAGGGTCGGGATCAAACCTACAACCTCCTGTCTACCAGGCGAGGTAGTTAACATCTCTTCACCGTGTGGGGCCCTTGAGCTTTAAGAGTGAACAGGAGAAGCTTGAGCAATACCATGGCAGAACAAGAGGAGGACTTACAAACTTCACACGGTTTAAGGTGCCCGAGTCCGGGAATCTTCGAATCGGGCCCAGTGCCACCCTGTAGCCCACTGAATCCTGGAGGAGTGATGGTTCAGTGGTTATCGCAGTGTCCAATCCCACTGTGCCAGGATTGTGATCCTATTATATTCTTGCGCACGATGGCACCAATAAGTTCAGCAGCTGAATGCCAACATCGGGGTCTGCTAGCCACGAGGAGAGGGCTTCAGGAGAGAGTTCGTTCATCGTTTTGCAATACCTCCGTTTGCAGCGGTTGACTCTGGTTTTAAAGTTGATGGCACCGCAACTTGCACGCGTGCGTTTATTTGTTTGCACGTACGGCGGTGTGAAACAGAGACACAATGGACAGCGTGAAGCAGAGCGCCGCACTGTGCTTGCTGCGGCTTTACCGCACCTCGCCGGACGTGATCCCCGTGGGAGACTGGACATCGCGGGTTATCCACCTGTTAAACGACCAACACATGGTACTAGACCCCGGCTCGCCCTCCTTCTCACGCTGATGCACACCACGGACATTATATTTTTGTGTGCGCGTTTGAAAAATGTAATCGTTTGTGTGGATGCTGCCTGCCATGATGATGCTGATAATGTTTATGTGGTTTGGTGACTGATAAATGCGGTATGCTTGGTGGGGGGGGGGGGCTACCTTATCTAGGGTGCCATGGCGGCGAGATGTTAACTACCTTGCCTGGTATACAGGAGGTTGTGCGTTCGATCCCGACCATGACAATGCCTGTATATTTGGAGCTTGCAAGTTCTCCCCGTGGTTGCGTGGATTTTTCTCCGGGTCCTCCAGTTTTTCCCTCCACATTTAGAAACATGCCTTTTGGAATATTTATCCGCAATACATTTCCACGTGATAAGCCACTTCGTTGGGCTTTCATTTGTGGCCAGGTCGCTTATGAAAAAGAGCTACGTAGCTCAGAGGGCCTTACTTGGTAAAATGAACGCTTGTTTCTAAATGTGGAAGAAAGAGCCGGAGGACCCGGAGAAAAACCCACACGACCACAGGGAGACAGAACACGCAAACTCCAAAAATACAGCCATCGTCAGGGTCGATATCGAACCCACGATCTCCTGTATCCCAGGCGAGGTAGTTGCGTGGGCTTGACAGAGTGCGACAACTTGCTATTTGTTCAGTGCGCAACACTTTGTTAATGTGTCGTTTCTCTTCAGGGGGTGGTGACTGCAGCCACGAGTCTCATAACAGCGCTGGCCCAGAAGAACCCGGAGGAGTACAAGGGCAGCGTCTCGCTCGCCGTCTCGCGACTCAGCAGGGTGCGTGTGCACACACTTGCCCCCCTCTCCCCCTCGGCCGTTGTCCTCGCTCAAAAACACGGGCGCGGAAACAACATGTGGCTGCCCATGTGCGATTCGTGCTAAACCCCACCCATGTCTTTTGATTTAAAGCTTTCGTGACTGAAGGGATTCATATTCTTGGTTCTTTCGGTAAAGTCACATAGAAGGGAAATAATATAAATATAAAACAATAAAAATTCTCACGACGTTTCAGGAAAAAACGCCACTTTTTTCAAAATTTCTTGCTGTGGATTTCGCACCTAATGATGATTGCTTGTGTTGCAGTCGAAACGTCGTGAGAATTTTTATTGTTTTATATTTATATTATTTTATTATCTCCCTTCTACGTGACTTTACCGAAAGAACCAAGAAAATGAAACCCCACCCATGTCGTTACGATCTTGACTTGGTGCCCTCCAAAACCTTGCCCCGGGCCTCAATGTTAGTACAATGGTGTGGTTGGTTGCAAGCGAGCGTTGTTATTGGCGGGACAAAAGTGGCGAACGTGTGTCGTGCTGGCACACAGCATTGCCGCTACAATCAATAAATGCCATGTGGGTGCACCGTGGTGTAGCGATCGATGTACTTTCCTACAACGCTAATGGCAATTGGTATTTGAAATTACTATAGTCGTCTTTCCTACGTCGGCTCCACTTTAAACTCAAAATTTCTTGGTGCGGTGTCATTGTTAATAAATAATTCACAGCCCTTTGCCAGTCCGCTGATGGATGAAGGCTTCTCTGTGCTACGTTCGTTGTGGGGCTTGTTTTAGCATACTTCACCACGCAGGCCATTGCGGGTTGATGAAGGCTGGCTAGAGGTGGGGGGGGGCGGTGGGAGCGTCCCCCTCCACCGGTGGAGCGGGGAGCAGTGGGTGGTAATGAGGACCGGTTCATATACCGCTCAGCACTCGTATTAGCAGTGGGCAGGAATCGAACTCGGGTCGCCAGGTTCAGAGCACAAGTGTGATAACCTCTCTGCCTCCGTGTCGTTATTAGCACTGGGGAAAGCAGTTTTACAGGAGGAGTTGATGTGTGTTTGGTATTTGTTGTCGAGTGCTTGTTACTGTGGTTGGCTGAGTAAAGTTGGCGGTATTTGTCTGCAAGTGAGTGTTTTGCAATAATGTCGTCAGCGTGTACACCACACTACGATCTTGCAAATCCTGCGATCAGTTTCTGGTCGCGCATCCCCAATTGCCAATTGATAGATGAACCTGGCATGTATTCTGCTGTAACTTAAAATAAATAATACAGATGGTTTTGTGATGTGGTCAGGAACACGTCATTTATGCATTCAGAGGCAGCTAAACTCAACCTTTTGTTTTACCGGTCAAGGCCCACTGAGCTATTTCACACCTTTTTTCAGAAGCCACCTGGCCACAAATAATAGCTCAACGAGGTGACTTATCACGTGGAAATTTATTCCAGCTAATACTCTAAGTGCATGTTTCTGAATGTGGAGGGGAAAACCCGAGGACCCGGAGAAATATACAAGCAACCACAGTGAGAAAGAGAGACACGCAAACTCCAAATATAGAGGAAGTCAGGGCCAGGATCAAACCCACGACCAGGCGAGATAGTTAACATATTGCCACTGTGGTGGTGGTGTTATGGTTGTGTTGTGCTGTTATACATTACCACACACTTCACCTTGAATAATGACTTACTATTTATAACACTTGCTTTTATAGTCTGTCCAGAAAAGTGACGGCCTCTGTGTGTGTGTGTGGCATTGTGGGTGGAGCAGATCGTGACATCCTCTTACACAGATCTGCAGGACTACACGTACTATTTTGTGCCAGCGCCGTGGCTCTCTGTGAAGCTTCTGCGCCTGCTGCAGTGCTACCCACCACCCGGTACGTCGGTCACTTTGGATGGCTACGCCGCGATGTTGTCCACAGGTGACACGGCGCTCCCATAACACGCGTAACACGAGGGTTTTCCCCGGAGAATCGTTTGCGAAGAGCGTTTACAATCGACTAATTTGCTTGGCAATGTGTGGGGTGGTGGAGTGCCTTGATGGTACAAAGTTGGCCACATCGTTACGTGGCTTATCGCAAAAAAAATATTTATGAATGGCAGGGAGCCGTCTGCCTGTGCATCATGGTTCTCCAAATCACACATTGTCACGGTGAATATTATGTCGCAATAAGCATGTCATGCATGATGCTTTCGGTACATTACGTTTGCCTGACATGGTAATTCATTTAGTGCGGGCTGGTACGTCCCAGTGCCCCACGGTAGGACACAGCGAGACATCTCCTTATTCTTTACAGTGCCATTCTGCCTCGCTGTATTTAATCGATGCCTTCGTAGTTCATCATGAACGCTTTGGTTGTGCACTCCTATTCACGTGTACTTTTCTGTGCACGCACACACACGCACACCCACGTGTGCGCCTGCATTCTCCCCCGCGTGCCCGCCTACTGCGTGACAGAGGACCCGGCAGTGCGCGGGCGTCTGAGCGAGTGCCTGGAGAACATCCTCAACAAGGCGCAGGAGCCGCCGAAGTCGAAGAAAGTGCAGCACTCAAATGCCAAGAACGCCGTGCTCTTTGAGGCCATCAACCTCATCATTCATCACGACAGGTGTGGGGGGGGCCCCCTTCCTCCTCCCCTCTTGTCAACGTGGCCAATCGGGTGGGGCCCAGGTTTTGCTCAATTTTATGATGGAAGCGTCTTGATTGATTCGCTCCACACCCACGGGTCTCCGTGGCAAAAATGGCGTTCTATTTACGCTTCGTTGAGCTGACATTCGTGATGGCGAGGTCACTTCTGAAAAATAACTAATAGCTCAATGGGCTTTACCTGGTAAAATTATAGTAGTTTTATTTAGTTTTTGTGATTTTTGTTTTGTTTTGTTTGTCATTGTAATGTTCTAATCCACCTTACTAGACATCTGTGAAAAAGAGCTTCATAGCTCATCGGATTTCTCCAGGATAAATAAATATTCTGGTTCTATTTTAACGGGTTGTTGCATTATTGCACAACATATCACATCTGCATTATTTTACGATGAGGGTGTTGTGATAATGATGACGACGACGACGATGACAGTGATGCGGCTACTGATGAGTGATTACGGTACAGTGATCACCGGTGTAATTGGTGGCATCTCTCTCCAGCGAACCAAATTTGCTGGTGCGCGCCTGCAACCAACTGGGCCAGTTCCTCCAGCACCGCGAGACGAACCTGCGCTACTTGGCCCTGGAGAGCATGTGCCTGCTGGCATCGTCGGAGTTCTCGCACGAGGCGGTCAAGAAGCACCAGGAAACCGTCATCAATGCCCTCAAGGTACGTGCTTGCTCCTCCGTCATCGTGCTGCCGTTACAAATCATCTGTGCCTTGAGTTTCCTGGCCAATAAGGGTGCCGCAGTGGTGAATGCTAACTACTTCGCCCGGTATACAGGAGATTGTGGGTTCGATCCCGACCCTGACACCTGAGGTATATTTAGAGTTAGCGTATGTCTCTCCCCGTGGGCTCGTCCGGTTCCTCTGGTTTTTCTCACCAGATGTAGAATTGACATGCTTTTAGAGCAGTGGTTCTTAAGCTGGGGTGCACGCCACCCCCTTGGGGTGCGAGATGTCCTTTGTGAGAACCAACGGGTGGTGCAGGCTGTAGTCAAGGTTATAAGCAGCACTGGTGTAGAGTATTTGACTGCTATAAATATCCATGTGATGAGCAACTTCATTGGGCTATCATTTGTGGCCAGGTCGCTTCTGAAAAAGAGCTGTATAGCTAAGTGAGTCTTATCTGGTAAAATAGAAAATAAAATTTTTAAACAATTAATAACTAATGTTAGTGACTGCTGCGGGCTGGTGCCAGCAAAACAACTCACCGGCTAACTGGCTGCACGCGTTTTCCCGTGTAACAAATAATTCAATTAGTTGCATGGCGGAAGAATTTCGGAAGACTTATAATAGCGAGCGAGACTGATGAGGAGGGAATAAATACAGAAGACTGACCACACGGTTAATAAAAAATTGCTCGAAATTTTACATTTGTGCTCCTCATGAATGTAATTGCTTCGCTAGAATATTTTAAACATTTTAGAGAATGTAAAAAAAGCGTCGCTAATGCAAATTCTCTTGTACACTGGTCCATACTTGTCTTGAAATCAATGCCGACACACAGGGTCAGTGCTGCACCTGTCAAAAACAGAAACCCTCCCCACCACTGATTTGTCTGCTCAGTTTAAGTTAAATTATCCGAAACGATAGATCGGTTTGCTGCTTAATTCCCTTAAATTAAAAGAAAAAACTGCTGACTTTGTTGTTCCGCATTAAGTAAAAAATATTGTAACATTCTCTCGCTTCTCTGACATGTCAAAATCAAATCTCCGCAATGCCCCTTTGCTGCCCTGCGTGGTGATGGAGCAGACCGAGAGGGATGTGAGCGTCCGCCAGCGAGCCGTGGACCTGCTCTACGCCATGTGCGACCGTAGCAATGCACAGGAGATCACCTCCGAAATGCTCAACTACCTGGAGACAGCCGACTACTCGATCCGGGAGGAGATGGTGTGTAAAAACTCATTTGTGTCCGTGTACTTATCTGCTCCGTCGCTCACTCTCATATGTGGCCAGGTCGCTTCTGAAAAATATGTGAATACCTCAGTGGGCTTTACCTGTTAGGATGGGGCTGGTTTAGTTGTATTGGTGTGTGTGTATTGGGGTGATTTTGTTTACCTTTGTACTTTGCACAGCTATCGTTCTTACCCGCCCCGACTGGACATCTGTGAAAAAGAGCTTTATAGTTCAACGGATTCCTTCAGTATAAATACAGATTCTGATTTATATATTTTGGGCGGCGACAGGGCCCAGTGTTGGCGCGTCAGCTGCTCGTTGCAAATGACCGCGGTTCAAATCCAGCCGGCTGTCCTGGTTAATAGACTCGTGTAGCCTTACTAGACTGTTGGGGTAAGTGCTGTCAGCGAGTAGCACCTATGAAAGCCGGGACGGCACACTAAGGGGGTGGGTGGCCAGCACCACGCCCGGCCGCGTTTTGTCTCCCGAGTGCCAATGTTTACACATCGCACCAGGTGCTCATTTGAAGCCGAGTCGACCTAAGGGAGACCCATTAATTATTGGTTCGGATATTCGTCACGATTGTTGGCCGTGAGCAGGAATCTAACTCGGGTCTCCGGGTTTGTAACGCAGCGCGTTGACCGCCGCGCTACCGGTGACGGGGCCCAGTGTTGGCACGTTAGCTGCTCATTGCAGAGGTCCGTGGTTCAAGTCCAGCAGGCTGCCCTGGTTAATAGTACCACATGTGTTTTGACCGTAACGTAGGCGTAGTTTGGTTCACAGTGGATGTTCCGTATCCCGTGAATAGTCCATTCTTGTGCTGGCACATTGGTCTACATTTTTCCGAATTGTAACATTTTTCTCCCAAATTACTTAAATCGTCATTGATACTGCAAAACTTTACAGGACCCTCGTGAAAGACAGTTGAGATTCAGTGGGGCTTTTCTGGGTAAACAAGTGTGTAACAATATTTAAATCAGCAGAGTGTAATTTGTGTTTAAGCCAATGTGCTCAAGGCTTTATGCACGCTACTCATTATTCTCCGATGTACCATAACAAAGTGTTTTAAAGGAATTTAAATGTATTCACTTTTTCAGTGTGTAAATACATTATTGGGTAATGTAGCATTTCTGTAACAGTTATAATCCAATCACCATCAATGAGATTCGGCCATTAACCAAAGAAATCCAATCATCTGTAAATTGGATTTGGATCTGATCAGATTGAATTGTGATTGGGTCTGGTTATACCTAACCTATGCACCTTTAACATCTTATGCACTTTTTTACACGGTGCCACCAGAACTTGGACAGCATTTTCCCTCTCCTCATTTTGTAAGAAATGAGAGCCTGTATCCCGTGCATTACACCAGCATTCTAACACACCTTGCCCAACGTGAAGGGGTGCTTGCCCACACCTCAAGTGTTGTGCACATGGTGGCTCGGAGATGTTAACTACCTCGCCTGATACAGGAGGGCTGTGGGTTCGATTCCGACTCTGTCGCCTGCTGTAGATTTGGAGTTTGCATGTTCTTCTCGTGGTCGTGAGGATTTTTCTCCAGGTCCTCCGGTTTGTCCCTCCACATTTAGAAACGTGCGTTCAGAGTATTTGGCTGCGATAAATTTCCACGCGATAAGCCACTTCGTTGGGCTATCATTTGTGGCCAGGTCGCTTCTGAAAAAGAGCCACGTAGCTCAGTGGGTCTTACCTGGTAAAATAAAAAATAGTTTCGTTCATAGTTTTTTCGTAATAGATGCTGGTCGGCATATACCGATGCCAGCAGTCCCGTGTAAACTATTCGCTTTGTTTTAAGTGGTATCATCAAGGTTTTCATTAGGGCCAAGTCGGTGTAAATTAAAACTCGCCCAGTCTGACGTGTTACCCTTGTTCAGACAATGCTCGTTTGTCATTGCCTGCTTCCAGTTCAGTTGATAAATGAATGCCGCGAATATCTTTCAGGATTGTGTTAATCGATGTGCTGGCACATCGTGCTTGCACATCGATTAACTTTAACCAAGCCCAGTACAAACCCGAGTCGTACTCTACCGCGGCTGCAAGCTTGCAGGGTACGGGGCGGGCGGCGTGTATTGTCGATGGTTGCAATTGAGATAATATTCGCACTAACGATGAGAACTGTCGTGTTAATTGTAATCGTTGTAGCAGTGGCTGTTGTATTGGTCACCAGTGTGGGTGATGATGGTGGTTGTGCTGGTGTTTGAGGAGTTGAACAATCTGTGATGTAAAAAAAAATCTACACATTTATCAGTGTTAATTTTTCTTGCTTTTGCACCACTGCCAATGCAGCAGCGTCACCAAATAATTTTCCTAATGTTTGTCGTGGTGGTAACGATAATATTGGCAATACGTTAAGGGGCTTAAATGCCAATGTAGAGGTCTGCTGCCTACGACAAGAGGGCTTCGTGGAGAGAGCTGGTGTGGCTTTGCTATTCCTGATGCTTCATTCACGATGGTGACGACAACAAAGCTGTTGCCAACGATGGGTGGCGGCTGTCGTGTGACCCCCGCCTCCCCGCGTGCAGGTGCTGAAGGTGGCGATCTTGGCGGAGCGGTACGCGGTGGATTACACGTGGTACGTGGACACCATACTCAACCTCATCCGCATCGCAGGCGACTACGTGAGCGAAGAAGTGTGGTACCGCGTCATCCAGATCGTCACGAACCGCGACGACGTGCAGGGCTACGCTGCCAAGACCGTCTTTGAGGTACGCGCTCATTTCTCAGAAAGTCAGGATAACCGCGTCATCTGACTGGCGCTTTTCTTTTTAAATAGGTGTCATGACCTTGCCGAAATGACCAGCGAGATTTCCACGAGATATTAACAGTCACTACAAATTATTGTTTTTTGTGTGTGTTTTAGTTTTTTTTGTTTCCCCCGCACATCCCATTAGCATGGTTGGCTACGTACGGTGCGACATAAGCTCTCCTTACATACATATTATTTTGTAATTTTATTGTAATTCATCTGGGCCAATGAGTAACATAACATGAGAGATATTGGGTTTTCATTGTGGTCCAAATAATGAATTTCCTTCAGAATGAGTTGTTGATTGGAAAATAAATTGCTATATTTATGGAGAAGCTCTTCTTGTCTACAAAGATATGGGAGAACCGATCTCGGATAAGAGAACGAAGGAATAAACTGTGTTGTGCCTTGGGCTTACTAAATCATTTATGGCCCGGGTAACCTTTAAGGCACCGTGTCCAGAAGTCATGCTGGGCATTGTCACTGGTGCCAGGGCTCTAGTCAACTGAAATATATCGAGTTATGCTTTTCTGGTTATCAGTCGGTTATACAAATAATTATTGGCAAGCCTTTTTATCGTTCGTGAGCTGAATGCAATTATATTCCAGTTTAGGGCTTTATAGTCTTTACGTGCTGTTTTTAAAAGCATTAAATTGGGCTATTTTTAAGTGTGCAGCTCTGAGCAAGTGGTGCATGTGTTGTGCACTCTGTGTGTGTGTGTACAGGCACTGCAGGCCCCAGCATGCCATGAAAACATGGTCAAGGTGGGCGGTTACATCTTGGGAGAATTCGGAAATCTCATCGCTGGAGACCCTCGCTCCAGGTGTGTGTCCTTGTGTACGCCTATTTTTTCTGGATTAGGTCTACGTGGGCTGCTCTCGTCAGGGAGCATAAACCATCGCGTGAACACCGGTCACCCTCGCAGCGGATTGTAGCGAGCCATCGTACAAAGACGGTCAACGCATCGCACGGTTTTAGATGCGCTTCTGCGGCCATCTGGAACGCTCTTCCTTCTGATATTAGGAAGCCACTGGAGCTATGCACTTTTAAATCTAGACCTAAAACTAATTTCTTTAAAACTGCTTAATGTGTTTAGTTTTTGTCCTTCCTCTGCACCTCGGATTCACGCAGTTGACGACGTATGGTGCTAAATAGGTTCTTCATACATGTTCTTACAATCGTAGCTAAAGGAGTTAATAAGCGATATTGTCTAAACCAAAACGTACCACGGGAAAGGGCTTGTGAGCAAATCGCCTCTTTTCATTTTTTTCAAAGAGGTCAATAAAATCGGGAATGGAATTCTAACATCTGACTGCTCCTTGTATCGCGTGTCTGTCTCCCGCCACCACCGACCCTTGACATGTGTCACAGCCTGTCACCATGAACAACATCGCAACAACTTGTAAACGTACTCGTCTGTCTTCGCTCCTTTACCCCACCATACCCATCCCTCACTGCCTTACCCGCCCTGGCCCCCTGTACTTTACCAGCTTCATCAGTGCCTCCGTCGAACTGGTAACATCCCCACAGCTCTCAAGGCTGCTGCTATTACTCCATCCTACCAATTTATATTTTGGTCTAAATTTATTTTCTCTGATCCCTCCAAAAAAAGTCCCCCCCCCCCCCCCCCCCCCCCGTGGTCTAGATGACCCAGTACAATCTGGTTTCCGCCAAAGCCATTCTTTTCAAAATGCTCTCCAACATGCGGTAAATGACTGTATTCACCCTTCAGACAATGGGTCGCTATCAGCGCTGCTTCTCCTAGGCCTCTGCTGCGTTTGACGCTGTAGGCCACTCCATCCACTCGCTCCTCTCTTTGTGCACTTCCGTAACATTTAGAGGACTCCGTCACACTTCCCTGCTGGTTTCCCATTTATCTTCCAGAACCGCTGCTATGTTTCCATGCAGGGACCGTCTTCCTGTCAGACACACCTGTGTGTGCAGCGGTGTCTCACACAGTGCCATACTCAGCTGCTTGCTCTTCTCAATATACTCACTCTGCTGCTTGGCAATATCATACGTGAGCCATCACTTCTATGCTGAAGGCACCCAGCTATATCTCGCTATTGACTCCATAAACCCAGCTTCACTGTCCACTCATTGTTTTTTTTATATTCATCATCACTTTTAAACAACTGGATTCCATCTGTTCCTAACAGAATCTGCTCTGTTCGTCCCATAACCAGTCTGATAATCTTCAACACTCTTTAAGTGGCCTTACCAGCATTTATATTGGCGCCATGTAAGTGTGCAATGATGTTTGTTTCGATTTTTTTTTTTACATTCGTTTACTTGTATACACGGCCAAGTCTTGAGTTTGTCTCTGAACCGCATCGGACTGAACCTCGAGTGAATTAGCTCGTGTGCGTGCGTTTGTGGGTGCCTGCGTGCAGCCCCCTCGTGCAGTTCAACCTGCTGCACTCCAAGTTCCACCTGTGCAGCGTATCGACGCGCGCGCTGCTGCTCAGCACGTACATCAAGTTCGTGAACCTCTTCCCCGAGATCAAGCCCACCATCCAGGAGGTGCTGCGCTCGGGGAATCAGCTCCGCAACGCCGACGCCGAACTGCAGCAGCGAGCGGTCGAGTACCTCAAGCTGAGCACCGTCGCCACCACCGACGTGCTGGTTCGACCCCCACTCGCTGCATGCCACCGACAAAACCGCATCGCGTCGTCATCTTCACCGCCATCGCCTTCATCGCTCGACAGCAAAACACGACTGACACTTGCCACCGGCAACATAGGAAGCACACAGTTGTTAACATCCACTATGATGTAGCAGTCAAAAGTCAGTGGGTTTTTTTCTGCTCAAATGAGCATTGAGAGGGTGGTTGGTCATCTCCCGTTTTACAGCCCTGAGCCAGCGGTGGCGTGGGGTGAGCATCCAGAGGGCATCCACCGTTGGCTTTGAAAACACAGCGGTGATCTTCTATGAAGAGGCCAAACCAAATCTGCCCAATAAATATTCCATGGCCTCTGTTCCTTCATTGACCTTATTGTTCAACTCCACTGACTCTCCTGAAGTCCTCTCCTGGCTAGCAGACCTCGACATTGCCTTTTTAACTCCTAACATAATGCCCTACGCCAGAATAGGAAAAAAAATTCTCGTCATCAATATATCCACCTCCATTTCTCCGTGCTCCTCCTGTGGGTGAATTCTGTCTGCGCCGCACATGCACGTATCGTTTGCCTAACCACGTTGCCTCGTTGGTCGGCCTCTGCCCGTGGTGCAAAGTGACGTGCCACCGAGATTTTCTCCCTGTCCCAATGTGCTCTTAACCGTTCCATCCCTCCGCTGTTTCCCCCACCCACCCACCCCCCGTGGTTAACAAAATCAAGGCCACGGTGCTGGAGGAGATGCCACCGTTTCCAGAGCGCGAGTCGTCCATCCTGGCCAAGCTCAAGAAGAAGAAAGGCCCGTCCACCGTCACAGACCTGGAAGACGGCAAGAAGACCGGCCCTGGTGGAGAACTCAACGGAGGATCTGAACCCATCGCACTCAAAGCCAGCGCCCTTGTACGTACATCAATACCTTCGGCACGTCGCGCTGTTTACATGTTGAACTTTGTGTTCATTTCCACCTTTTTTTTTACAAATTGGGTTCCCGGAGTCCTATTGAGACAAGTAAACTCCTATCCAAAATGACAATATTTACAGGAGGAATTTCTATGTAGTTTTGCCGAAAGAAGCAGTGGGGTTTTGTTTTTGTATAATCTGTGTACGGAACTGGATAATTGATGTGCAGTGTTGTGGGATGCACTTGCATGAATGATGCTATATGAAATGAAATTATTATTATTTAATGGATCAATGGGCTGCAGCTTCTCAGTGGAAAGACCAGTCCTCTGGGACCTCTTGCAGGCTTTGTGTGTTTACCCGAGTTCCATTTAAAGATTCTGGGAAGTAATACACATTATAATAGAAGTTGGGTCAGGTACTTCAAGGTCCACGAGGGCCTAACCCACCTTAAACGCAAACAAATTAACACGTATGAAACTTTTGCTGAAAAGGATTTAAAATTGTATTATTTTAGTTGTCATGACCTCCCCTTTTCAGACAGACGGACAAAGTTAACACATTACTAACACTTTCAATTTTGGTTTGGAAAGCGTAGAAAGAGTATCCACAGATTGTAACTATCGAATAATACCACACTATTCACTGAAGTGAAATAATGTACGGTGCCTGCAAAAGCCACCCACTGTCTACGTGTGTCTTGGGTTCCACACATGCAATTGCCTACATGCTTGTGTGTGTGCGTGTGGGGAGCGGTAGTGTAGTGGTTGGTGCACTGCGCTACGAACCCAGCGACCCAGGTTCGATTCCCGTTCACGGCCAACCAGTGATAAATATCTGAACCGGTCCCGAACCTCGAATGAGTACCTGGTGCGGTGTGTAAATATCGCCACTAGGGAGACCAAGGTGGTCGGGCGTAGCGCTGGCCACCCACCCGTTCCGGTCTTCATAGTCTTCGGGCTCTACAGGGGAATCTTTGTCTTTTGTCTCGGTGCAGTCCACCCCGTCCCCGTCCGCGTCTGCTGACCTGCTGGGCCTCGGCGCCCCCACCGCGGCGGCCGCGGTGGCCGCAGTCGCGGCGGGCTCCGTGCCGTCGCCGGGAGGGCCGGGGCCCAGCGGCACGGTGGTGGGGCCGCCCGGCGGAGGTGGCGGGGGGGGAGGAGGAGGAGGGCTGCTCGTCGACGTCTTCTCCGACATTGGCACCGCCGCTGCGTTGCCTTCCATCTCCTCCGATGAATACTTTGCCAAGTGAGTTGCCAACACGCAGGATCGCTTTGAGCGCAAAAGTAAAACTGCCATGGCGGCGCTGCTGCCCTCTTGCAGTGGGTTGCTGCGTCTCCCGTGCTGCTGCTGCCACGATCTGAAACGGCCTCTTGCTTGCTGCCTGACGACTCGCTGCCTGACGACTCGTGTGTGGAACGGTTAAAAAAAAAATTGGAACGAAACCAGTGAAGAATTTTCTGAACCCATTTTGATGTTGTCACACAGCCACTAGCCAACTCGCTAACAAACGCATATGTGGGGTGGGAAGAGGCGGAGTGTGGAGGCCGTGCAACGTATGTTGTCGTTGGATGTATGGGGAAAATTTACGTTGGCGCACACACACACACACACGTTTGTGCATGCGCAAGTGTATGTATAAGTGTCGCGTATGTTTGTTTGCGTTGTATATTTCCATAAAGCGAGTGCACATGTCAGGCGTGTGCACTTGTATGTTAGTGCATTGTCATGCACACCCGCACACTGTAGCAAATGGCAGTTGTAAGATGACTGCTCGATTGCGGCAAAGCTAAGTGCCGTCCTCTATGGAACGTAAAAGAAAAACTTGTCTCGGGCTACAGAGGGTCCAGAACAAACTTGACCTGAGTCGTCACACGGTCACCAAAAGCGATCGCCTTCTCAGCTGCTCCTGAAGCCTCCGCGCTGGTTCCCGGTGCGTTACAGAACAGGCTGTTCACTGGCACTTCTTTCCGAGCTCGGCACTGTGCTGTGGCGTACATTTTAAGACCCAAGGTAGCCGTACGGAGCGTACGCCCGTCTGCTTCTCAACACGTGCCTGTGTTTGTTTCTGTGTTTTGAGGGTTCGTCTCCTGGTCTTTGTCTTTTTGCGGATTTCCTCAAATGTTCTCGGTAGGCCCGAGGCCTCGATCCAGAGTAACTCTTGAGATTTATTTTGGTGATGGCTTTTTTTCAGAACCTTTCTTGCTGCTGAAAGACGAGTGTCATTTTGGCATTTTCTCGCCAGATAAGCGGAATGCAGTTGCCAATTTCCAAAATCCCTCCGCATCATTGTTAAGGTCCTCGGCAAAGGGTGTAGCTACCTTTTTTCGAGGCTTGATGCTCGCTTAGCGAGAGCGATGTCGTCTGCTTAGACAAATATTCCAAGATGCTGCGTGTGTGGCGTGTCGTTCGTAATATTAATTTTAATAATGGTGGCGCAAGCAACGCGGGGGGGGCGAGGGGACAGGTGCCGCCTTGCATATGTCCATCATTCAGTTATTTTGGTGCTTTCCTGCTTTTGGCAGCTTTTGGCTGGCCACCGAACAAAAAAGGGTCACCGCATCACGCGCCTTCAGGTGCACTTCTGCAGCCGTCTGGAACGCTCTTCCAATATTAGGAAGCCCCTGGAGCTATGCACTTTTAAATCGTCTAGATTAACAAACTGATTTCTTTTAGAACTGACTTTTAGATTTAGATTGTCCTTCCTCCGATTTAGCACGGTCTGCTACGTACGGTGCAAAAGAGTTTCAACATGCACACGTTTACATACATCCTCGCGAAATGCTTGGAAACCGAGGTTACTCAGCATGTGACAGTCAGCGGCAGGCTGCATTCGTGGCACGGCATCTGAACGATTGGGGCTCTTTCATGAATATAAAGAGGGCCCCAACGCAAGTGTGTGCTCGCAGGCGTACACTTTGCTTTCCGTGGCGCGTGCGTGCACATGTCAGCGCGTGAACTGACGTGGATGCACGGGCACTTGGAAGTGTGTGTGCCCTTTTGCTGTTTGACCATACGTGTGTGTGCGTGCGTGCGTGTATACACATCGGGTATTGTGTGCAGCCAGCGCACTCTCTCCCCGCCCGTCTCACTCTCTGATGACAGCGCCCTGCATGGCGCCGATGAGCTCTTTAACAAGTAAGATGTCCGACCCCTAGTTCCCCTGCACCTCCCTCCGTCATGCGTCCCACCGCGCATCCAGCCAAAGTGTCAGTCTGACCGTCCGCCGTTCAGTGGAAGGGGATGCCCGATCCTGCACAGGAGTCGCGGCTGCGTGTGGGTGGTCGCTCTTCCTCCAGTTCTACTGTGGGCCACTCGGCCTGAACTGTGATGTAGTTTTATTGTTCTCTCGGTAACATTAAGGATACACCGTTTATTTTTTTACTCTATGTTTGCCCATGTGTACGCACACCGTATAAAATAATACAGGCGCACGTGTAACGTGTGCACATGTTCACACATACACAAATGCACACGGGCCCTGTTTCGTTGGATTTCACCCAGCAATTGGCACACTACCGCTCCATGGGGTGAAATTGGAAGCGCCCTTCTGTCCTTTGCAAATTGCAATGAATGCTGAGACAAAGAGCTGATTTGGGAGGGGGAGGGGGGGCTGATCTCACCGTGAATACGCCCATCACGTGACCTCGCCCCTGATAGGGGCCAGTCTTCTAATCCCAAACCCACGATGGGCACACAAAAACAAAGGTCTCCAGTAAACCCTTGAATATAATGCACAATTATATTGTGAAAACTGTATATACCTACCTTTTTTAGTGTAGTGTTAAGATTAAAATATATACTTCTATTTAGCCCTCTCCATGTTGAAAAAAATAACTTGGTCAGTGGTCAAGACAATCGCAAAGCCATATCTGGTCCATATCACACAGCATTGCAGCAATGCAATCTAAATCTTAATTGGGATAACTTAATTCTAACAATAGTCTTTCAGTTTTAACAGAAAGGTTGCTCCTATTAAGGGAACAATACGGGAATATATTTAGAAAAATATATATTTGCAACACGAGTGCGTATATGTGATGTTATCTTTGTCCCTTAGGTTTGTGTGCAAGAACAATGGGGTTTTGTTTGAAAATCAGCTGCTACAGATCGGAGTCAAGTCTGAATACAGACAGAATCTAGGTAAGTGAGTGGCGAGGGGGATTTTGTGTGTGTGTGTGTGCGTGTGTGAAACTGTTAGCGCGCTGCGCTACGAATCCGAGTTCGATTCCCTTTTCACAGCCAACACAAGTGACGATTAGCTAAACCGGTTGTGGGCCTCCCCCTAGGTCGACTCGGCCTCAAATTAATACCTGGTGTGGTGTGTAAGCATCGTCGTGATGCTGGCCACCCCCCCCCCCCCCTCGTGTGTCGTTCCAGCCTTCGTAGGTGCTCTTACAGCACTTGCCCCAACAGTCTGTTCAGGCTATAGGGGGAATATTTTGTCTTTGTGTACTTAAGCGTCAAGATGTCAATGAGCACACTCCACTAACATCCTGGCAGCAGCAGCAGCAGCAGCAAGATTTTCATTCCCGGCCACGCACACAGCTGCACGCGATGACGCTGACATGCGCTGTCAAAGCCATATTTGGGCAGTAATTAAAAAACGAGTTGCTGGCTCCCGTGTGGCAAAATCTACTCACCCGGGTAGCTGAATGTGGCAGCGCCTGCACCTTTTATTAATCCCGTCATTTAGTGGTGCCTCCACAGGGTGCATCAAGCCCTTGGCTAATGAAACAGATCCGTCCGCGGGCACCTGAGTCTGTCTCAGAGCTAACAGGAGGTGCCATGCTCGTTCTTGCGTCTGCCCCCATCACGCAGGCCGCGTCTGCCTGTTCTACGGCAACAAGACGTCCGTTCAGTTCCAGAGCTTCTCGCCCACCGTCGCGTGCCCCGGAGAGCTGAAAAACCATATCCTTGTTGCACCAGCTTCTTTTATTGCGACATAAAAATAATGATGACAAAAATGCGATTTTTTTTTTTTATGATGTGGATTAATTTAACACGCACGCTTTCGCGATCAATATTATCCATAATAGAGGTTTTTGGGTGAGGTCGCATAAATATAGATGTTTTTTTATTTTGATTTAAAGCTTCCGTGACTGCAGGGATTCATATTCTTGGTTCTTTCGGTAAAGTCACAAAGAAGGGAAATAATAAAATAAAATAAATATAAAACAGTAAAAATTATCACGACGTTTCGACTGCAACACAAGCAATCCTCATCAGGTGTGAAATCTTGCTGTGGATTTCATTATTATGAACAGTCCAAGAAAGGGTTAACAAATCGCCCAAAACACACAAATACAACATTAAAACCATCCCTGCCAGGCAAAGCCCCACCGAGATATTAACTTATTCTTTCCAAAGCGACCCTGGCCGCAAACGATAGCCTCCTTGACTGCACGGGGGTCCCTTGGCACAGCTGGCGGTGGAGGCTCGCACAGTGGAGCCGCTGATCGACGGTGGGGCCCAGGTCCAGCAGATGATCAATGTCGAGTGCTTGGACGACTTCAGCGACGCACCTCTCCTTACCATCCAGTTCCGGTGAGACCCAGACACTCCTTCTCTTCGGCCACACACACAGACGGGTCGGGTGTGAGAGGGCTTGAGCGTGTTGTTGGCCTTACAAAGCTGCTGTTCGGGTAAAGGCATCGTGGTTTAAATTAATAGGTTGTGTTTATGTTAAATGGAAAGGTTCAGGGGTAAAGGGTTTTGTAGTTAATTGTTCAAATGGTTGAGACGTTGAGATATGCTTGGGTTAAGGATTGGGGTCTGTGAGCCATTTGGGGTCAAATTCGTGTTCAAGTTTGTGTTCTGGTTTATGCTAAGAAGTTATGGATTGGTTTTTTTATTAGACGTACGATTTTAGCGTGTGGATATGTTTCATAGTTTTGAGGTTATGGCTATGGGTTTACTGTGAAGGTGGTTAGGGTCTTAGTATTATTTGGTGGTGGTAACGATTGAGCCCTATTGAGGGGCGCCTGTTAAACTCTTAGTTGTAACTTGCTGACCCATCCAAACTGGACATCTGCAAAACAGAGCTTCATAGCTCATTGGATTCCTCCAGCAGTCTCAATAAAGATTCTGGTATCCTCTCATCCTCTGGAGCACTCGCCGAGTGCCTAATCGGCGAGCCATGCGATGGCCATGAGGCTTTACGTGCAGTCCCCCCTCCCCGAAACATTGGGGCACTGCAGAAACATTGCCAATCGTATGTTTTATTTTAAAGCAGCGTTATTGACGAATGGTTGTTGGTTATTTGTGCTTGTCCACCACTGCCCGTGCAGCATCACCATGCGAGCTTGTCTTCAACTTACATACAGTAGAACCCCTCTTAACGACGACCCCTAATAACGACTAATTGCTTAACGACGGGCCTCCATAGAGCCCAATGTGTAGGAAATGGTAGTGTAGTGTATAATGTAGTGTAGTGTATCGTAGAGTAGAACCCCTTTTAACCACCTCCCCCCCCCCCCCCACTGTTAATGACTAATCACTTAACGACAGGCCTCCATAGAGCCCAATATGTTCGCTTACCGACCAATCCCCTGTTAACGATGGGCTGTTGTAGGTACAGTAAATATGAATGAATGCATTGTTTAACCGTCTTTATTTTAATATTATGTGTTTATAATGTTGTTAGTATCTTTATGTATTCATATCCATTGTTTAATATTACAAAGTAAATTTTTTCGATGAAAAAGGGGTAACTTTCGTTGCTATCGGAACGAATTTAGCCCTTAACGTGCATTCCCTATACTCGCTTAATGACCAAATCACTCGACGACCGGTTTCGTGGAACCAATTACCTTCCCTAAGAGGAGGGGTTCTGCTGTGTATGTGGGCGTCAATGTGGCCGAGTGGTAGCACGTCAGCCGCTTGTTGCCGAGGTTTAAGGTTACAACCCCGTGGCCGCCCTGTTTAATCCTGCGCGGAGGGGGGTGGGTACGAACCGCAAATGTCCGCACGCCGTCTGCTTTACAGTGGACGTTGACGATGCCATTGCGCTATTCGAGAAGGAGGAGGGGACGTGGCGCTGGGGCGTTATGGTCTACATTTCTCAAATGAGAAAATTGGCTCTAGATTTGAAGCTTTCGTGACTGCAAGGATTCATATTCTTAGGTTTTTTCCGGTAAAGTCACGTTGGCCCCGCCCCCCTCCCTCCCGATACGTTCCATTCATTGGCTACCACATTCTGATGAGCTCCCCCCTCTCCTCCCCCCTCAACTCGCTTTTAAGGGATTACATCTTGAATCATTGCCTCACTTGATGCAGCTAATCTGGCTGTGACGGTCCCACCTGATGACGGAGACTTGTGTTGCCTCCGAAACGTCGTGATCTTTATTTTATTTTATTTTTTATTAATTTTGATGTTTTACCTACGTGACTTTACCGAAAAAACCTGAGAAAATTGGCCCGCAAATCTACTCGCTTGGCTAAACAAAACACTAAGAGTTGTCGCCCCCAACTTGTCAAAAACCAGAGCGGTACTCCCCTGATGAGTGTAAAACTCGGCGGGGCCTTCCTGAGTAAATCAATGCAAGTGAATGAATGTGTTTTACACGCATGTATATGTACTAACGTACGTGTGCTTATGTGTGTGCGCAGTGGGGCGCAGTAGTGTAAGGGTAAGCGCACCGCACCACCAGAGGGTGGATTCCCGCTCACGGCCATCAACATCGGTGGCGATTAACGGATCCCGGGCCTCATCTCGGTCGACTCGGCCTTAAATCACGACTTGGTGTGGCGTGTAAGCATCACCACCGGGGAGACAAAGGCGGCCGAGCACAATGCTGGCCACCCACCCCCTCGTGCGCAATAGGAGCTGCTCGCTAACGGCACTTGCCTCCCCCCCCCAACGGTCTGTTAAGACTATAAGGGGGATCTTTGTCTTTTGTGTGTGGTGCATATGGACGTGTGCACCAGCTATGGGGGCTCCATGCAAAGCATCACGATGCAGCTCCCCGTCGTTCTCAACAAGTTCTTTCAGCCGACTGAGATGGCCTCGCAGGACTTCTTCGCACGCTGGAAGCAGCTGAGCAGGTGCTGCCCGTGCCCCCCAACGCTTCGTTTCGCTGCCAGCCGAGGAGACTTGGCAGACCGCGCAGTCTGGAGAAGTAGACACGTCTGCGCGCGTGTGTGGTGGGAAGCCGGTAGTGCAGCGGCTAGCGTGCTGGCGCTACGAACACGGCGACCCGAGTTCGAATCCCGCTCACGGCCAACGCCAGTGACGATAATTTGAACTGGTCCTGGGCCTCACCTAGGTCGACTCGGCCTCAAATGAGCACCTGGTGTGGTGTGTAAGCATCGCCACTGGGGAAGCAAAAGCGGTCGGGCGTGGTGTTGGCCACCCACCCCCTCGTGTGCCGTGCTGGCCTTCATAGGTTGCACGCTAACAGCGCCTGCCCCAACAGTCTGTTAAGTCTACACGGGGGATCTTTGTCTTTTTGTGTGGTGGGGAGCGGTGGCGCAGTGGTTAGCTCACTGCGCTACAAACCCGGTGGCCCGAGGTTCAATTCCTGCTCATGACCAACACCCGTCATGATTTATATTAATATTCCTTTTTGCAAGGCCCGCGGGCCACGGGTGGCCTTTAGTGCGACCCCTGACGTGCAGCCCCCGACAATACACAAATGTGAAAACGCCCCCCATCATCGTCATGCAGCTGTCACACCCCCAATGGTTTCAAATGTGTGTGGTGGCCCTCACACTGATGATGTCTTATAGGGGAAAATGGCACCCCCCTCTGAAAATTAGTGAAGAACGCTGATTTATATTAACTGATCCTGGGTCTCCTCTAGGCTGACTCAAACTCACAAGAACCTGGTGCGGTGTGTAAACATTGCCACTATGGAGACAAAGGCGGCCGGGCGTGGTGCTAGCCACCCACCCCCTCGTGTGCCGTGCCGGCAATCGTAGGTGCTCGCTAAGAGCACTAGCCCAAGCGGTGGGGCATACCCACGCCATCGTTATCGGTTGATGGCGGTGTAAAGAAAGACTAAACGTTGCTTGTTTTTCCGTGTCCGTGCGAGTGCAGCCCACAACAAGAAGCCCAGAGAATCTTCAAGGCAACGGCACCAATGGAACTAGAGGTTACCAAAGCCAAGGTGCGTGTGTACCAGCGATGGGGAGCGATGTAAAACGGAATGAATGAAGGTTTATAATTGAGGGTTTTTTTTGGGTTAGATCGCATGAATATAAATGTGTCGTTAAACCCGCTACCACCCGACACAGACGCTTAGTAAGATGTATCACGTAAACAAAACATGCCAAATAGTTACTCGTTCAGCACACCAGCGTGTTGGAGAGTAGTAAACCCATTCGAATTGTAAATGTTTTTGTCAAACACAACTATGCGCTCTCAATACAGAATTTCCTCGGTTAACGCAGGAGATGCGTTCCTGAAAAATGCCGCGTGAAGCAAAAATAATTTTCACATAAATAAGATATCACGATAAAGTTTGGCGAGCTACGAGGTACTCCTACGCGCACGCAGTAAGATGGCGGTGTCACTACCACTCGGCTGCGTAGCTCAAGAACGTGGTTCGTCGTCGAGTGCTCCAAGTCTGCGTTATAACGGAGCGCGTTCCGCGTCATGACGTTCCCCTCCCCCGTTGTGCAAAAAGTGTTCCCTCGTGAGCACTTCGCATTATGGCGAAAACGCGTTGTGTTAACACACGTGTTTTTGTATTTAGATTGTCAACCAACACTGGGTAAAACAACATGTGCATTGTCGTTCTCTTCTAGCATGTGCACCTTTAGCATGTGCACCTGTTGTTCTCTTTTAGCCCCGCCCCCCCCCCCCCCAATACGTTCCTTTCATTGGCTACCACATTCAGATAAGCCCCTCTCCCCCTCCTCTCCCCTGAACTTGTATCTTGGAATTTTTGCCTCACTTGAGACAGTAAATCTAGCTGTGACGGTCCCACCTGATGACGGAGACTTGTGTTGCCTCCGAAATGTCGTGATTTATTATTTTATTTCTATTATTATTTCTATAATTGTTATTTTATTATTTATTTTTATCTACGTGACTTTACCGAAAAAACCTAAGAGTGTGTTAACACGCGTGTTGAAGCGAGGACTTATTGTGTGTGTGTGTGTGCGCTTGCAATCTTGTGCACACGTGTGTATCAGCTGGTTGGGTTTGGCATGGCCATGCTGGAAAGAGTCGACCCCAACCCGGACAACTATGTGGGGGCAGGAATCATCCAAACGAAGACTTTGCAGATCGGCTGCCTTCTGCGACTGGAGCCCAACCTGCAGGCGCAGGTATGAGTGCGCGCGCTCGTTGGTGGTGTTGACGACGTACGCTTCTTCTTCGTTGGCCATTTGCCTCTTTTGAGCCGGCTGGGCCGGGATTGGACAAAACTTATTGCCAAATGTTCACCCTCCAGCCAACTGGAGGGCAGCAGCTCAGACTTGAGTGGTCGTTTTTAGTGCCTTGCATGTGTTTTGTTGTGTGTGTGTGTACGGAGCGGTAAGCGTAGCGGTTAGTGCGCTGCGCTACGACTCCTGCAGGCCGAGGGTTCGATTCCCATAATCATTCATAATCAACGTTTTTTGGGTTTAGATCGCGTTATTTATAAATGTGTCGTAACCCTCCACCACCCGACACGGCCAATCAGCAAAAAAGTGTCACGTTGACAAAAGACTAATAGTTCACTGCTTTAGCCCACCGGTTCGATTCCCGCTCGTGGCCAATGCCGGTGGCGATTATCTGAGCCGTTCCTGGGCTTCCCCCCCTAGGTCGAATCCAACTCACATGAGTACCGACCATAGCGTTGTGTAGTTAACATTCTTAGGGAGATAAAGGCGGCCAGGCCTGGTGCTGGCCACCCACCCCTCGTATGCCATGCCGATCTTCATAGTTGCTCGTTAACAGCGCTTGCCCCAACAGTGTTGTCTTTGTCTTTTTTTTGGTGCGGTGCGGTGTGTGTGTGTGCGGTGTGTGTGTGCGCGTGTGTGCGGTGTGTGTGTGCGCGTGTGTGTGTGCGCGCGTGTGCGGTGTGTGTGTGCGGTGTGTGTGTGCGGCGTGTGCGGTGTGTGTGTGCGGTGGTTGTGTGCGGCGTGTGCGGTGTGTGTGTGTGCGGCGTGTGCGGTGTGTGTGCGCGTGTGCGGTGTGTGTGTGTGCGTGTGCAGATGTACCGCCTCACGCTGCGCACGAGCAAAGAGAGCGTCTCCAAAAGGCTTTGCGAGCTCCTCGCCGAACAATTCTGAACTCCGCTCTTCTCCATCCACCCCCCGCGCGTCAGTTTCTCACGCACTCAAACGCTGTCCCTCCCCTCCTCCGCCATGCCGCCTCCTTCCTCTCTCCACGTGTCGTGCCCATTGTCGTTTCCTCTCCCACGTTCTGGTAAAGGCCACCCCCCCCCACCCGCTTCGTCCGTACTTTCGATTGAAAAATCGATTTGGAGGGATTCCCTCCACCTCTTCCACCGCTCCCCGCCCCCCACCCTCGTGTCGTGGATTCACGCTTCCGAGATCGTGCTGCATTGTTGCGTGCTCCTCTGCTCACTCGCTCGCGGTCTCCCGCTCTCTCGCTATCGCTTTGTCCACGTCATATGAACTCTAGAGCCGTGTATATCTGATCTCCCCTTGGCTGGAGCCTTACATCAATTGTGATTTATTCTTTCCCCCCCTCCCCATCCCATGACCCTCCCAGGCCAATTGTATAACCCTCAGCCTGGAAATCTTTTGAACACTGAACCTGACCTTAATTTCCTACCCAATCTTGTCCTTGCACCCAGCTCTTAATACATTCCACTGTTGTGATTGGTTCCCCCATGACATTGGTCGACTGAAACTAAATTTTAAACCTTCCTGATGACTAATCAGGTGTGAGCGTAGGGAATGCTTGAGGCTCAGAATTAAGCTAAAATACGCTGCGGCTGTGACAGCGATGGGAGGGGAGGGGGATTTTGGCGATTTTTTTCGTCTTGTTTGCGGGCATTCGGGGCTCGCAGAGGTGATGGGCCTTGGCCACTGATACTTGGGTTACTTGAGTAAAAGCTACGCTTCTGATTCCGAAGAAATTTCGCACGTTATATTTCCGTACACCATTTCAGACTTATTTTTCACATCCTCAAGAAAGTGGGGTTGTTTTTGCACAGCTCGAGGTCATGTTCATGTGTAGGATGTTCCCCAGAATAGTGGTGATGCGATGCTTTAAATGCACTTATAGTGTTACGTACACAAACTCGCATGCACACGTGTGACAACATTGCACGGGAGGAGTGATTGGTATTTAAAAGGCTCTTACGGGCGAGAGATTAAAAGGCAACAGGATTGGCCAAACGAGACATGTTGATGATTCGTTTCCCTGTTACATCTTTAAGAGTTTACCACTTTTCCCTCCATACCTTCTCTTCGCATTGTGTCGACGGGCATGCACAACAGTCGTGGAATTCCAAGGAAGCTATGAAAGCAATGACATTGTTGATCTCGTTAGCCGCTTAGGGAAGGGGGTTATATTTGTTTGGATCTTAATTATTCGAACTAAACTGTTACATTATCATGATGTCTTATACAAATATGCCCAGGCCGAAGGATACAAATTAAGTACGTTCTTCTTACTTGGGCTTAAAATATATATACAAATACATATGAGAAATCTCTCCGCGATTATGAAATCCACCTTGCTATAAGCAGAGGCAATACCTCCTGCTTTGGCAGTAAACTATTGGGGAAGGACTGCAAAACTGCGTCCCCACTACTGCAGTGTTAAGCTACCCCCCGGGAATAAAAATCTGCACCAATTAAAAGCGGCGGGGGGGGGGGGGGGTGGGGGCTGTGTTTAAAATGTAAATTATTATTTTTTTGTTATCGAGCAATTGGCGACAAGATCAAGAAAGTTGACTTACAGCATCTTGTTTTGGGCTTGTTACACACCCCCCCTCCCCCCCACGTTTTACAAGCGAAGTTTCACCCTGTAGATGTCTCTACTCGAAGTTTTTGTTTGTAATTCAAGACGGAAATGTCTAATCGAGGAGTTTCACCGCCTCCCATAGCAACAGTTTTGAATCCCATTACAGCGCCCCCACCCCACATGCTTGTCAGCCAGATCAGCAGTTTGGTGTAGCAAACGACGCGGTAAACTCTGATGGTACCAATCTCTATTTATGGTCACTGTATTCACGCGTGATTGATAACATTTTGACTTAAAAATACCATCTGTGGTTATGGACCCTTTAAAAAAAAACCTAAATGTCCTAATATTTTTTTTGTTTTGCCTGCTTGTCAATCGCTCACTAACACGTTGCGAGTGACAAGCTGTATCAGTTGCTGCGGACAAGTTACCTTCTCCCCATGGCGTTGGCCAGCTCAGTGGGCCTTCCTGCCCCACGCACACCCCCGGGATAACCAGCACACAGAGATACAACACAACCGTTTGGTCTGGGCTGGTGCACTAATTAGTCAAAGAGTTGTTGGTCAGTGCCGCTTTGGTAACGCGTGTATTGATTGCTTACCCACGAACGTGATTTTTTTTTTTAAATAAGATTCGTGATTGTATAGCGTGTGATCCTGATGTGAGCCTGTGGACTAACTTCTATCACTGTCGCTTCTCAAAAGCCAATGTGGTGAATTAAATTCTGAATGTCTCGCGCGCTTCATGGTTCCAAAAAAATGCAATCGATTTAATATATAGGACGTCTTTTTTTAAATGTTGACGTAGAGACCGATGTCGTTTCACGTACCCCCCCACCCTTCATCGCTACCTCCGCCCCATCGCGTAATGACACCAGAACTATTTCGGCAAACGAGCGGCCACAACCTCGGTCTCCCTGCCCTGCACGTGGATAATGTTACGAACTCATTCGTGCATCATTTATAAACACCGTGGGTGGGAGTGAGTTACAGGCGGTGTTCGGTGATGTGTCCAGAATCCTTTTATTAGATAAGTGCGGGACTGAGTTGGTGGGCGTGAGTGTCTTGCGGAAATTGTAAACTTTTTGGATACGTGAATCACAGACCATGTTCATCGAACTCGTCCGTGAATGAGCCGAACTTCAACCACTGCCACTTTCGAAACACGACCACACCATCATACATGCGTTGGCACATGTATGTATAAAGTACACAAGCACATGTGATATTAAAAGGTATGGCATGTAATCTATCGGAACACATGTACAATTCAGGATGTTTAATGCTTATATATTATGTGTGTACTGTATACATAAGCCTACTAATAGTATACGGTTATATGTGATGTATATTTGAGGATTGGATACATTTCCAAGCACTGCCCGTACACAAAAAAATATAAAACATGTATACTGTTAATATAATGTGCGTGTAGATGGTCATATGATGTGTAAAAGTAATTGATCACATACCTGACTGATCCGAGTGGGGCTCATCCGGTGGTGGTGGTGGTGATCCTCAGCCAGTTGTCGGGATAAGGGCATTTAACTTATGGTACAGAGCGACTTCTGATTCAAAACCACGTTCGCACTTCCGCTGGTGTGCCAAAACATTTGTTTAACATCAACGAGCGTGGCGTTTTACCGATCACGGATGGGCGAGGAGTGATTTCAGCTAGGAGGGGACTTTTTTTCTTCCAAACCTATGTGTTTTTTACGATTGAGAACCCCACAGCAGAACTCGTTTGAGATGCGCCACCTGCTCGCTTGTACAGCAGTACCCCGATTTACGGCGTCTCGCAACTACGTCGTCACTTGATGATTCACACCACCGCTACCTGATTTGCGTCGCCTCAACCTCGCACCAAACTCGCGTCGCTGACAGCAGCAGCATCATCATCCGTCCTCTCTCCTATCCCGTCGCCTCTCAGCCTTCGCCTCCACCACCCACCTACTACCCACCCTTCGATTTGACGTCGTTTCGATATCCGTCGTCGCACCTATTTCAGGAAACGCACCCCCGACGTGAACCGGGGCATTGCCGTAGGCGACATTGTTCCGGAATGCCACTCGCCCGTCTACGCACACATTCATTACGGACGCGGCGGGGTGCCGACCCAACGATGAGCGTGCCCACGCGAAATCTATCGTTGGTCTCCCGTGTGATCCAGATGGGATGTCCCCGCCAGGTCGGATCTGACTTTGTTGTTGTGTTTCATGGCCATTGTGAATCCCGTCGCGTGTGACGATGCCCCCCCCCCCTTCCACCGATTTGCTGTCCGGCTCTCGAGTTTCTGTGAAAGTGAGGATCCGTGGTGTTGAGCAACTTCAACGCTGTCGTTTATGCTGTCGTGGTTTTTCTTTGGTGGTGGAGGGGGGGTCGTGGCGGCGGTGTGAAAAACAACTCTTGGTTGATTTTTGTCTTCCCTATCCTTACAACCCAGTCCTCCCTCACCATGGTGATTAAATTATGTGATTCAGGGTTATTACGGACTATATTTAAAGCGGCTCAACACAAGTTGCATGGTTCTGCAGGTGTGTGATATCGTGTGGTGTGGCTTCAGTCTCGTGGACGTCGTTTGTATGTCAGTGAACATGTGAAAAATGTATCCAGGTGTATACGTAATGTACGTGTGTAGTTTAATTGTACGCAGCTATGCGCATGGTTACGTGTGTGTGGGATGTGTGGTGTGTACGGGTTCCTATGCACGGATGCGCACGTGTATAGGACGGGTGTGTGCTCATGTGCGGTGGGACGGTTGCGTAGTGGTTAGCGCACTGCGCTACGACCCCGGCGTCCAGAGTTGGATTCCCGCTCACAGCCACCAACAAGCAGGTGACGATTATCTGAATTGTTGCCGGGCCCTCCCCTAAGTCGAATCCGCCTCGCGAGTACTTGGTGCGGTGTGCAGTAAACATCGCCACCGGGGAGACAAAGACGGTCGGGCGTAAGATTGTTGGCCACCCACCTCGTGTGCCGTGTCGGCCGCCTTCACTGGGACTCGCCAACAGCATTTCCCTGGGCCGTCTGTTCAAGGCTTTACGGGGTGGGTGGGGGGATATCCGTGCAAATGTCTGGTGACCCGTAATCGATAGGATGTGCGCACATGTACACGCGTTTTATCAGGGTGCTGCTCAAAGGATTCTAATTGTTTTCTCAAATTCACCCCCCCCCCTCCTGCATTCATTCATTTGCCTGTTAACCTGAAGCCACTGCGACCTTAACAATCGCTCAATATTTAACAGGTTGCTCAACGGAGTTGGACAAATGCATCGCAGTCAATGCACATAGTCCTAGTAGGCCAGTGTCCTTCACTGCAAGGTCCGCGGGCCACTGTCGGTCCCTGGTGGCCTTTAGTGCGGCCCCCGACAATACAGCAATGTCAAAACACCACCCCATCATCAGCGTGCTACTGTCAAACCAAACAATGGTTTCAAATGTGTGGCGAACCTCCTCGCACTGACGATGTCTTATCGGCGCAAGTGGCCCTAAACCTCTGACAATTGTGAAGAACGCTGATTCTATGAACTGGTCTTGGGTCGCCTCGAGGCTGACTCAAACTCACGAGAACCTGGTGCAATGTGTAAACATTGCCACGAGGGAGACAAAGGCGGTCGGGCGTGGTGCTATCCACCCACCCCCCGTGTGCCGTGCCGGCATTCACAACCTTGCAGTTGAGACACCCAGATAAGAGGTGGTGGAGGTCGCGGTTATATTCGCAGATTTGGAGTTACATTTTTATCAGCTGTTGACTTTTACACCAAAGATAAGAAATTGAGAGGCGGGGAGACTAGAGGCCCAAAAAGACGGAAACTTTGCCCCATATGCTGCATACTGAGTGGCTGCATACTAAGTGGCAGCACCCTGTGTGAGTGTTTTTGCTGGCGTGTGGGTTATGTATGGTGCGTGTACACGTGACCACGCGTGGTGCACGCAGTGACTGCGCCCCCAGTAGCCAGCGCTTGGTAGCACAACGTGAAATCTATGATATCGTACAAACTAAGCAACCGTTAAACCCCCCGCCCCACCCAACACGGCCAATTAGTAAGGTTTGTCACGTAAACAAAATATGCCAATTCGTTACTAGTTCAGCGCGCAGGTGTGTTGGAGAGCAAACCCACAACATTTACAATTCGAGTTCGCCGTTTTGCCAGTAATTGCAACTAGCATCATCAGGCGGCATGATTTACTAATTGGCTGTGTGGGATGATGGCGGGTTTAACAATACATTTATGCGATCTAACCCAAAAAACCTCTTATGGATAACCGGGCTTTCGCGACCAATATTAAACCAACGTTTGCTTTATTGCATGCACGGCCTTGTGCAATATGAACATCTTTCGTCTGCATTGCTTTCTAGGTATCGATTTCAATGTACTGCATTTCCCTATTTAAAACGATCCAAATCGTAGTGTTAACCGTTAACCCAATGGAAATTGCTTAAATGTGTTTCTGTTTAAAAGTGAATGTATGGTTTCACGCGGAGAACAGACGGATCGCTTGAGTTCTCTTTTAAGCGAATCGGGAATCGTCTTAGTGAAATTGGGGCTTGAAAAAATGTGCGGCTGATGATTCACAACATTTCTGGAACTACAGATATCGCACACGCACGTCATCGTTCAAATAATGCACATGAACTCGGCATTACAAAAACTGTAAAAAAAACACAATCTTGTTATTTTCACTCTGTACTTCAACGTTGTTAGCGATGTTTACTGCATGGGTTCGGAACTAATTAAGGATTAAAAAGTTGCAGTGTTGATAATTTCCCGTGTTTATCTTTATAAACACGTGAATGTCGATCGCGTTTCATGTATGGCACACAATGCTCAATATAAGAAACCAGGTTCATCTAGTGTCTGGGTTAAACCGTAAAAACAAATTGAACCAATGTAAAGTTTCGAGAAGGAGCCTTTGACCAAACTCACTCGGAATGTGCACAGCTCTTGTCAAATCTCGGAAGCTAAGCGGAGATGACCCTGGATCGTTGTGTATCGGCTTGCAGCATGCACGACGGATTGTAGAAAGCTGGGCCCCAACAAAGGGCAGAGCAGCAGAATCCATTGTTGTACCATGTACCCGTCCCCGCCTGTTTGCTGCCCACCTTCACCAAGCTGCGTGACGTAATGGCCAAGTGACCCCCACGATCACCCGCACCACGGAGTGGCCTCGCCCAGCAGTGTTTGGAGAAGGAATGCCCTTTGTGGGATGTGCATTAAGTTCGCCCTGAGCAGTCCTCCTGGGTGAAAACTCGACCCCAAAGCTAAACAACCCCCCCCCCCCCATAGCAATACGGGCTTTCATTGGTAGATTTCAAGTAAAAAATCACTTTTTGGACGCATGGAGATTTTACCGTACAGCAATCGGTGAAAGCCGAATACGTATGTTTACATTTATTTGAAAGGAATACGTGAAAACGAAATCTAACCTTGACGAGCCTCTCAATGAGGACGCCTTTGCAAAGTGCGAATCCGACACGTGGTCACTGTGACCGCTGCACACCAGTAGGCGGTGCACCACTGCAGCCCGGCCACGTGGCCCGTCTTCACGCTGGTGATGTCATCGTCAATCGTGAAGCCACCGCATTCCATTGGCTGCATGACCACACTGGTTAGCGGGGTGGGACGTGCTTTGTCACTGGCAGAGCCAGTGGGGGGGTGGCACGTGCCCCCCCAATGATCCGATCGAAATCCCTAATTTCGATCGGATCATTGGGGTTTATTAGTAATACATAGGCATTTGCGACCCCCACTGCCACTGTGTAGCATATTATCATGTGCCAGGGACTCGATGAGATGATAGGACAATAGTCTGAGTCCATAATTGGCAATAAGTAACGGCAAAGCGGTGAAAAGTGACTCAGAATTGTGCGCAGTTGTGTATACAGGACACGACTTCCCTGAAGGCATTCACTTTCAGCGAGTGCGATGCCGATCACACGACGCGGTTCGAATTCGACCCTCGATCGATGGCTGCGCCATCGCCGCACACGCGTCGAATAAAAAGCAAGGGACAAGTCCTTACTTACTCACAACTCTTATCATTTCTCGTTGGTGGAGGGGTTGCCCCCCC